ACCCACTGTAGTCGTACACGCCATCGAGATCGGTTGTCGCGTAGGAGGCCCAGGTGTCGTACGATCCGTCGAAGGATATACTGCCCAGAGGACCGCCCTGGCTGGCACGTGGCGCGTATTGCGGCTTGATTATCTGTGTAGATTGTGGCTTCGTGTGGGTTGTCATCGCATGGCTGGCTTCGGAGTAGGATTTCCAATGCCGCATCGATTCCCTCCAGTTCCCCTGCATAAACAGTATGTGTGTTAGATGAGCCTACTGGCTTATAAGCCTGTCCTATTGATGAGTAGACCGCTGCCCCAATCCCATTGTCAAAGCCGCTCCCATCGGTAAAGAACTGTATTGTTGTATCTGTTCCTGAGATTGCTTCAATAGCCTTGATAGCCTCCTCACGGGTATCGTCAATCCTTGCTTCTGGTGGCTCCCACCACGGTGGCACTACAAAGGGGTAGATTGTCTCGATGCGTTGGCTAGTATCACTCCCCAGTTTGCGGTCGATGGCTGTTTCCAATCGATGAAGTGGCGACGTGTATGGGTCGTTACAGTGGGCTTGGCCACGTATTTGGTAAAGCGTAGATCGAAGTGGTGAGGTCATGATCCGCAGGCAGGCCTCCTCAGCCAGCTTTGCGAGCGTGAGCTCTGCAGGTGGTACATGGAGACAGACCTCTAGGGCCTGTCGTGACGTACGTTTGAACGCGCCGGATATCTGGTGAAGAGCCTGATCCTGGATCGATCGGATGGCTTGCTCTGCAGCTCGCTGCGCACCGGTGAACCCTCTTCCACCTCGTATATACCACGTGGAGCACGCGTACATGATCTGTGGTTGGAGGACAGCCGTGTATATCTTCCTTAGATGAACCAGGGGCGTTCCCCATGTCGATCCTGCGATTGAGCTTAATCCCGCCACCAGTTTTGCAGCCTTCTTTCTCATCTCCTGTACGTGCACTTCCCCAGTGAGGTGGGTATCCAGATAAACTCCTAGATATTTGATTGAGTCCGTAGGCTTAATTTCTACTCCCTTGATTATGAGAGGTACATCCAGCCTACCACTCGGCTTAGGCACCATTTGGTGCTTCCGCCAAAAGTGGGTAAGTTGATATTTGGCAGGCGCAAATTTAGAGGCATGTGTCCTCTCCCAGCGCTCTGCAACCTGGTGTACTTTGGTGAGTGTGTGGCAGTTGGCTGCGGCGGAGGTCCCATATGTCATGATGAAGATGTCGTCAATATATCCAAGTACAATCACGTCCGGGCACTCGGCGAGTATCTGCTCAATAAGATCTGCATTAAAGAATAGGAATAGGATTGGTAACAATGGGGAGCCCTGTGGAATGCCTGTATTAACTAGAAATTCCCCTATATTGCCCTCTAGGAGTGTGATTGACGTGCGGCGATTACTTAGAAAGCTCTCAATCCAGCCAATCAGGTCATCTGGCACCTGGCGCTTTCGTAGGTCGTGTATCAGCCTTATATGATTGACGTTGTCAAAAGCCCCTGCCGCGTCAAGTGCAAGCCCTGAGGCTACTCGTGAGCCCTCTCTCCACGCACTATGGGTCTCTTCTAGTAAGAGATGGATTGCTAGTTCGCATGAGCGGCCGCGACGTCCTCCAATATGTTGCTTTGGTAAAAGATTATATTGCTCCACTAGATAGCTGAGACGTCTGGCTAACACTGATTCTAGTGCTTTGCCAATCGTGCTCAGTAACGCTATTGGGCAGTACGCCTTTGGATCAGAGTAATCAGGCTTTCCAGGCTTGCGAAGGATGACTGTTGTCGACTTTCGGAAATGGTCAGGGCAGTATTGTTGACGTAGACATGCATTAAAGAGATTAACGAGATAGGCCTCGATAGTAGGGAGCAGCCTTTGTAGGACCAGATTAGGGATTCCATCTGGCCCTGGTGCTTTGTCGGGCTTCACGTTGGTTACTGCCGTTCGGACTTCGTCTAACGTGATTGGTAGCATCGTATACGGTTTGGGATATCTATATTGTGGCCCAATATCTGACAGATCTGCCTCCGGGGGCTCTGGGTGGAGGACCTCTCGGAATAGGGCTGCTTTCTCCTTTGGGGCTGTGTAACTCGTGTTATTGTAGTGTAACGTTGGGGTAAACGTGGCACGTGGTTTGCCCCTATTGCGGACCCAACGGGCAATTCTCCAGAATCCATCTATTGACTCTGTTGCCTGCTCAATTCGTTGGCGATGTAGATCTCGTGCGAGCTCATTGGTGCGCCGTTTCATCTCTTTCCTAGCCTCTGCGTAGTCCTCCCATGCCTGATCTGTATTTATACGACGTGCGTGTCGTCTACACCTAGATACGTGGTGTTTAAGCTTCGCCATCTCTGGGGTGTAGCCCGCTCGTGAGTAGATGCTGATCTGTTTTGTAGGTGTCGCTTGCTCAGCTGCCTGATTGATTGCCTCAACTAGATAGCGGATCGCCTCATTGATCGCCTCATTATCATTGAGCTCCCTTGGGTGCCAATTGTATATGTCCATCAGTTTAAGGAAGAGGTCCCAATCTGTTGCATTCTACTGCTTGCGAATCAATGGAGGAACACGTATAGCTGTAAGGTTAAATTGAGTGGAGATTGGGACATGATCTGCTCCGTACCACCACTCTGGCTTGGTGTCGCAGCTCACTACCCGGTTGGCTAGATTGTGCGATGCCCACACCAGATCAATTGTAGATTTGGCGTTAACCCTCTCGTACGTGATCGTGCCTAGTGGCAAGAGCTGCTCGAGCCCATGCTTATCCATAAGATTAATCAATTCAGTGGCCTCCTCGTCAACATGTCGGTACCGCGGGCCCGCCCACAGCGGGTGATGTCGGTTGAAGTCCCCCAATACAATATGCTGCGCCCTAGGTGCCATGGCGGTTTGCAGGGCGCTAATTACAGATTCCTTGTTGCTATTGACTCCTGGATTGTATATATTGTGAATATGGATGGTTCCATGGGCGGCTGTATGAAGTGTCAATGTGCTCAGATCTCTATTATGGTATTGGACCTCCCATGTGGCTGGATCTAGCCCTCTATTGACGTAGAAACAGACTCGTGGGCGTTTCTTGTATTCTTCCTTGGGTGTGGGCTGCAGTAGGATATGGAAGCTGCCCTTGAGCGCTAGTGAGTATGTTGTTAGTGGGTCGGTATGTTTGTTGATGTAGGGTTCCTGGATAGCCAGGATATCGTAATTTTGCACCTCGCTCTCACCAAAGAGATGCATCTAGACCTCGTCCCGTGATTTCCAGCAGTTAGCCTGCAGGATTTGTAGTCGATTGGTGTTACAATACATTACTGATTGTTAGCCCAGGTGCTGTCTTCAAGGTTCGTGGTCATTAGCGTATCAGCCTCCTGAGCTAGCTCGATTAGATCCTGAGGGGCTTTGTGGATTGATGGCTGGGTAAGTTCATCCTCAGATGAGTCATCGTCTGGGATCGTACGCACACTCTTACTTTGGCGGACAGTCCTAACAGCTTGCACATGTGAAATTTCTAGTGGAGCAATATCTAATTGCAGAACCGGGGTTCCTGGTGGAGGCTTCGTATTCTGACGTGCACGTGTGTTATATGTATATTTAATCTGGGTCTCAGGTCCTGTCTTAGGTTCAGGATTAGGATCTGCATCTATAACTAGATCTTTATCCCACTGCGCTCTCATAGGCTTTTTCGAGGATCTATTGGTAGGGTCACCTGATGTAGGGCTTATCGGCTCGGGCTCAGATCGTTCTGCCACTCGTTTTCGGGCGGCTGCTGCGCTCTTACTTCTTGAGTTGGCAGATCGACGTGTGGTGGCTGTACGAGCCGGTGCGCGAGGACTTCGCTCTGTATTGGCTGCTTCAGCTGGTGTAGGGTTATTTGGTGAGATGGCTCCGGGCTGACTATTGCCAGGTCGTATCACAGGAGTGTGATATTGTGGGCCGTATGTACGTCGTTGATGTGCCTCTGCGAGGCATGTAGCTCGTATCGGGCACTCCCTCGCGTACGCAAAGTGTTTCGTATTGAGTCTCTTGGCAGGATCTTTGATATGGACATTTTCTGCGGTACAATTAGCACATTTAGCGTATTCTTTCTCTTTCGGTGTAGGGCAATCCCCTGTATCATGAGATCCAGCGCAGTACGTGCAGCAGATCTGGCGCTGACAGTGCCTGGCGATATGTTTATACATCTGACACTTGAAGCACTGCTGGAGATTGGCTGCTTTGTCGTATATTGAGACATTGTGCTGTCTTCCCTTAATAATAAGGCCGCGTTGGATTGCAAAATTAGCAATCCTTTCATCATCAAATATGACTACAAGGTGGGCATTTGTGAGCTTCTGTTCCTTGATCTTATACTCGCTTAGGAGCCAGCCCGTGTGTGTGACATTCATAGAGGCTGGAAGCTGCGCGAACACCGGGGCGTTCTCTGAGGTAAGCGTGGTTATGAATTGAGGCTGTTTGGGGTTGATATTCGTGTTGACGCCGTGTACGACGACGCCCCATGTACGTTTTCGTATACGTGCTTCGTTTCCGAATGCCCTAATCCAGTCCTTCTTGCGGGTAAGCTGGTCGACGTCGTCCACTGTGCCTAGTAAGAGTATAATATCACCACTAGGTAGTATATGGGCTGCCGCAATTCGTCGATGTGCGATGGTGGTGTCTTGAGTGCTGCGTATTGCGAGATTTGCCTTCTCCACCACCTTATCCGGGAATCGACGTATCGGGTTGAGGATATTTGGATCGGTATGTTCCAGATAGACCTCTAGGTCCTCCTGGCTTGGATATGGGGTTGATGGCAAGCTTCCTCCACTACTCAATCCCACGCTAGGGACCGTGGGAGGGTTCGAGGGCACCTTACGTCCCCAGGCCTGTACGTACGACTCTGAGCTAGTTGTCACGTGACTGAAGCTTGGAGAATTTTTCGCGGTACGTGTCCCTGGGGATGTTGGGTGGCATATTGCCTCCACCAGGCGGTTCGTGTTGCTTTTGGTCGTAGTAATCTCTCGAGAGGCCTGAGATACCTCTTTCTGCGTCTTTTCCACGTGTAATTCGACCTTCGCGAGCCGCTGCGCTAGTTGCTCATTCGTAGGCGTATTCTTCACCCTTCGAGCCAGGTATAAGAACGCGTCAACCACGGAAGTAGAGAGCTCACGGGGCATGCCAATCTCCAGTGCTTCTTGGTGCTTCTTCAGTGCCTCGAGATCTTTGATGGCTGCAGCTACATATGCGCGTATATCAGGGTCATCTGCAAACCGTGGTTCTGGCCACGGAGTGCCCTTTTTACCTCTTTTCGGGCCCATGCTTCAACCGCGTCGATTGAGCAGGCGAAAGTTGGTAAATATACTGTCAAGGAGGTCTATTTTCACTGAGATTCTTTCCAGCAGTACTTTTTACCTGCGTGGGTGCGTTTTCATAGGTGCGCGAGGTTTTTTTTTTTTGTATTGTCCGTCAAAGGGGATGGAGACTCATTATAAGGCGAGCCCTTCTAACGAGTCGAAAGAAGAATAGAGCCATTGATAATAACACATAGCAGAGGTCAGCTAGCCTGAGCTCCTACAGTCTGCGACTCCACCCTTGGAAGTCACAAGGATGGAGAAACAGGAAGACTACAGTCCTGAGTGATCCAGAAACTGAGCGCTGAGTCATTAGGGCTTTGCCATGTCCAGGGCCGCAATCACATGATCTTATAATGGCGTGGAAAATGGAACGTGGTGGGAAGGGAGAAGTGCGTGGCAAGAACAGAGGTCGCACGGAAGCTGGGTCTTGGCAGGGCTTGGCGGTTAGTGAGCCGCTCAAAGCAGCGTGAAATGTGGCCCATTTAGGCAGCTGGCTAACCGTCTGAACGTTATATAGAGTATATTTTAAGTACGTAGTATAGAGTATAAATATTATAATATATATCTCTTTCCCAACGTACATTTTCTAAGAAAATTGTTGAATTATCAGACCGTGAGAAGTATCATTTTGCATGCGGATTCGAACTGGCGGCTCGCTTGTGGTGGCGGCTCGCTTGTGAATTACGTTAATCACTATCTATCAGGCACCCTGGCAAGGATACCACTAGAGCTCCGAAACGAATATGAATAATATTCATATTTGTTGGATGCGAGGATGCAGTCGAGATCTGGATAACTGACATCACGTGATTTCAATCACGTGATGAAGGCTACATGTTGGAGCTCGGTTACGCTAGGATGGATACGGAATATAGGCAAATAATAAGAACTTAGAGTTGAGAATTTCTATGTATTGATGCACACTCTCTAATACAAAACTTGTCAGGAATGTTGACCTCTTTTATATGTGAGGTCCTGTACAAACTAGATCATGAGATGACATCCAGTCGAACCTTCTAGATATAGCCATATAGAGCTGATTGGATGTCTATATCTCGTCAGTATGTGAACCTAGTTCTCGAAATTTCTTCATGTTATAGTATGATGGATTCCCAATTAGGGATAGCGTATTGCGTTCCAACACTACACCAGGAATCCCTTACGCGTCGGGGTCAAAGATAGAAAAGACAGACAAACTTAAGACTACCCAATTGAACCCATATTCCAAGTTAGGAAGCCTATCGTACTAGTACTAGTGCAGATGCACCCACAATATTCATGAATATTTGCGAATATGAATAATATGAATATGAATTAAATGAATATGAATATGACCTGTATTCATATTCACTAAATTCATGAATATATGAATATTCATGAATATCCACAAAAGATAAGGGAGGCAGCTGAATCTTGAACTCGCTCCTAAGATCAATTTTGAATAGTTACTTACAGAAAAACTATATACAAATAGCAAGCTTACTAAAATTTGATGAAAACCCTGTTTCCTAAATCCTAAACATTTTTATGCTGAGTCCTGGCGTTCTTTACTATATTGTCCCTTAAGGAACATCAGCCATCTAAATGTCTCAGAATTTAAGCAGTGTCTCCGAATACCTAGAACATCTCGTGCGTTACTAAATAATCTCTTAACGCCTACTTTAGTAGACAGAATAGGAAGATAGTCTTGTACAGCTTTTGACATTAGGGGGTAGTTAAAGGCATTTGCTTTCCACCATTTTAATATCCAGTTAGGATCCCTATCTTCTATCATACTATGAGACCATATCTTGGGGCTTAAATCTAGGTATTAATCAATGTCTGATATTATGTCTGCAGATTGCAGAGGCTGGATTTTTTTGAGCTTTTTCCATAATATCCCTGGCATACCTGGTGGACGCTCTGCGCTAGAGGAAGAGGTAGGGCTTGCAGGATATTATTTCTTAAGATATTCACATATATCAGAAACAATCACATCTGCATCAGACTTGCTCATTTAAGCTTGGATGAAGGAGGTCTTAACCTGTGGATCAAGAATAGCAGCCATGTAATAGATAATATTGGAATCTATCTTCTTGGTGAATTTATTCATTTTCTGGATTCCTCCTTCAACAGCATTTTGAATCTCCTTAGTAATCTCTTGAAAGTTGCCTTTGTTATTTTTGATATTGTCAAGAATATCATCAAGACTCCAGTATATTAGAAGGCTTTTAGTGATGCTTGGGCAATGTTTTGAGATAGAGTTGGTATGATCCTAGAATGGCTTCAGGACCTTCTGAATTTGTCTTAGTGTTGACCAGTCACTATCTGTTGGTTATATTTCTTGAATGTCTGGATGTTCACGAATAAATTGAGTGACTTCTTTTTGAAGTTGAAGAGCTTCAGAGACCATATTGTATATTGAATTCTAGCAAGTGTCAATATTATAATTGATTTACTTGCAGGGAGAGATATCCTTCTATGCCTGCCTTCGCTGGGGGCTATTATTAATCCATAAGGCTAAAAGACGGATCTTAATAATAGCATCTTTCGTTGAAATTAGTGTTTTAGGTGAATGATCCTTCTGTGATGGCATCTCATTAAGTATAACATATGCATCACGGACTGTACCAGTCTTTAAGAATACTAGAATATCCTTACAGATAAGATTTAGTATATATGTAAGACATCCAATGAAGCTATTCTAACCCTAGAACCACATAAGTGGTTTTATACAGAATAGACTATCTTCCTTGTCAAAATCTTTTAATAGGTCTGCATAAAGATAATCGCAGAGTGTTAGATTGTTTCCAGCATTATCTCTGGTGATTATTAGAAGCTTATATTCGATTTAAAACACTTCAAGTATACTTTTGACAATTATAGACAGATTTTTGCCAGAGTGTAATCCATCAATCTCTTTAAACTTAAGAAGATCTTCTCGAAGCTTAAACTCTGGAGTGAGCTAATGGCCGACAACAGCAAGAAATAATATCTAGTTATCTAACATCTAGATGTCAAGTGAAAGTGAAATCGATTGGCAGGTATCAGCTAAGTCCTGCTTTAACCAGTTCCTCCAACTCAAATATTCACTCTAAACTCAATTTTAAAGAGTATCTGTAGTTTTGATAGGACAGTTAGTATTTAGACTCTTAAGGAGTTCTTTCTATGTAGGATGTTTAACAACTGTAAAAGACTGCTGTGTTTCAATTACCTAGCGAAGAAGAGCCTGCATGGGATCAAGTCCAGACTTAGCTGGTTCTATGAATATATCAAGAGGCCCAGCTGGAGGTGTAATTGTGTTCTATTTAATATGGTGTTCTTTATAAAGGTGTGTAGCTAAATTGGTTGTAGTATCCTGTTAAGTAGAGTCCTTTGATGACTAATTGCATTGCTTATATAAAAGAAGTCTATTATTTCTGTGATGGCCTCCTTTAGGACACCATGTAGTCTTAAGGCCTATAGCATTAAAATAGTCAGTAGTCCAGCTAGTACGTGATCTCTTTCTTTTTTTTGTTGGAGTCTCATCGAACTCACTCTCTTGGTCCAATTGAGAAGAATTGTCTGAATTCTGTTGAGGAGACTTCAATCCTTGTGAAGCTGATTTAGATAGTACCAAACTCAGTTCGTCAGAAGATATGTTTTGGTAAGGTGCAGGCACAGGCTTATTAGATAGAGTAGACATATCAGAAGGTAGAGATTCAGGGGAGGAAGAGTTAAGAGTATCTGCTTCATCGCGCCATGGAAAAGCGTCAGAAACTATGCTATTATTCAAGGCATTATAATCGCGATGAGGTCTCTTTCGAGTTATTTGAGGAGATGAATCATGAGAAAAAGCCATGAGAAGAGGGTATAAACAAAGCTCTGTAATAAATAAGGAACAAGAAGGAATATTAAGTGAAATACTTGGAGACAGATATTTGGAAAAGAGAATTAGGAATCTAGAAGAGCCTAATTCCCCCAATTTATATACTAAACAATATTTAGCTTTGTCCGTCACGTAGCTACTTAGTCTAATCCATTCCTAGCTATGATGTAAACAAAAAAGGTAAACATTATATTAAAGTTGAATACATGAAATGTAATAGTGCTAGTCATACATGTTATACGTGACAAATGGGTGGAAGAATCATTCTAGAGAATTTCAAGTAGACTTACCGCTTGCAAAGTAAGAAAGCATTTCCTAGAATGCTCTATCTAAACTACACACCATGATTATATAGGCCATGCACTGAATTAATGATTGAACTTGAGAACTTCATATATATATCTTCTCCTTGAGCCAAGATTCTCATTATTTTAAGAAAAGGACCTCATACTACTAGTACTATATCTATACTTAAGAGTGATTAGTACCCTTATGGCTAATATAAGATAAACTGAAGAAGCTCGCATCAAATTTGCTGATTCTGTGGTGGTTAATATGTATCTATGTAGGGCACGGCTGTTTGCTGGTGCGGAAAAATAGTCCACCCGGAAATATTCATGAATATGAATATGAATATGAATATGGTCCATATTCATATGAATAATATTCATTTTAATCATATTCATAAGTCATGAATATGAATATGGTCAATAATCATATTCATTTATTCATTTCGGAGCTCTAGATACCACCGTTTCTCGCGATTGTTAACTGCCGTTTATATGAAATATTGCAAAATGGCCATCAAAGGGCAGAAAAGCATCGGGAGTGATGACTGTCCTCTGGAAATGTAGGATGAAGTTTATTCTGATAATCCAGTGGATAGTTCAGCGAGTGAGTTTGAGACAATTTGTGAAAACCCAATCGAGAAAGCTTTCTTCGATAAAAAGCATATCAAAAAGCTGTTAGCGTCCGGTACTTTTGTGATCATTCTTCAGATAGTGAAGAGCTAGAATAGCCACTGCCGCGCTTGGGACTGTCCACCGAGGACAATAACTGGAAGACCGAACGTTCGATCAGATTTCCGGTTCAATCTCAAAGATTTATCGGGCCAACATTATGGTAAGTTCTGCCTAACAAAGATCAAACCAGTAATTAATGAAGATAGGACCGAATCAATATTACCATATCACGTGCATGGAAGTCAATCTTCGTAGATTCCTCAATGGATGTCGCACTGTTGGGTTTTTCTAGGGCCTTCTCCTTTTCCATATCTCGTTATTTCCCCATATTTAAAGTGAAAGAGTGTTATGGTTAGTACTCTTTGACACCCATTTCCCTTACGCATCTCGTTGTTTCCTTTGCACATCTTTGTACATTCAAAGGCGCTTTGTTTGCTATGTTTAGATGTCACTGCTGTACTAAATAGGAAAACCCATGCTGGCAGGATGAAGCTTATAAGGAGTTCATCCTGCTCACGATTTGTCCTGAGAATCAGCAGTCCTCATGTTTTCTATCCTTGCTTCTAGTTTCTCAGTTAGTTATCAGAATCCGATTTCTTCTCGTTGTCGGTTCCTTACACCATCCATATTCGTGTAACATACGACCAATCCAAATGAATGATATTCTCTATCTAGGGTGCCAGCGTTGACGAGAAACTGGGTATGAAGAGGGAAACTATCTATCGAGGGGAGAAAGCCCATATTTGTAGGCCTCCATCCATATTCACTCATTGGCGGTACTGTCCGTCTCATACAAATCTCTGTTGCCTGGCCGGCATCCCAATATGGAATCAATGCGTATCACGATTGACCTCACGTTTATTGACTGAGATCTCCATACAAAGGATTCCCAGATAATAAAGGACATGCCGCGCCAAGCCGGAAGCCGTCACAGAGGGAATCTACTATGGAGATTTTCAACAACGAAGTCAGATTGTACGAGAATAATCGCTTGCCCTTTCAAAGCTTTGATCCTGGCCCGCTTTATATTTGTAAAGATTATAGCTTTCGGGCCGATATTTATCCGTACGGGATAGAACACCTCACTCCTTAGATAGTTTCCTAGATAACAAGCACAAGGACAAGAACGTTGAGAACGCTCCAACAAGATATTTCAATCCTCAAAGGGGAGCGTACAACTGATATTTCTACTACTGCTCATAATCCTCGGCAACCAGATCTTCCTCAAGAATCTTAACAATATTCATGAGGGGTAGGTGCCGTTTCAGGCTTCTATCCGGAAACTAGGTTTTCTCATTCACCGTTGAGTTTCTCAGGGAAAGGTGTTTGCCGAGATATTAGCTTGATGCCTTAGATCTCTGGCAGCAACACAATGGATACGCTGATTGGCTCAACCAATATTGTGATAGTATCAGTCATTACAGTGTATTGGACATGGCGGCTCACTTGCAGTGGCGGCTCGCTTACCGATTACGTTAGTTCACCTTATTTAGTTAGCGTACCTCAATCAAGGAGGGTTGGGTTTCCCCCAACGGTGATTCCACAAATCCTAGAAGTTATATCGGCCGCAGAATGGATATTTGGGAGTTACCAAGACCAATAGTTATCAGCGGGCTTTCAAGTCATCTTTGTTTAGTGTCCATGTTTATCTTAGTTCCTGACTGATACTTATGATAAGCTGTTAGGATTGAAAAATATAATCAATATGATATAGTCCATTTAGCGTTCAAGAGCGTAACTAGAATCACTTCAATTTCTTCATACGATGCCCATGCACAATGTCTTTTCGATTTTTCAGCATGTTCGTCGCCGACTTTCGACATCCTTATTATGCTTTTTGATATCATATTGGTTTCGTGAAGGATCTACTTCACCGCTTTCCGTATTTGACCCTTCACGATAATTTTTAAGGCTATAGTATTTCTCCTTTCCCCCTTTTGTATTAGTCGTGATTGATATAGGCGAAGCAGCTTCTGGAAAATAATCAGTGAGAAGCCAAGCGTAGCGCAACTACATTGCCTTGGAGAGCAAACTAACGTTTGGGGGTCTGATCTTGTCCAGCAGTGCTGTTGTCTTCGTTGAGGTCATCATGGTGACTTGACTTTACTACTTCATCTTTGCAGTGTCCCTCAGACTCGGTGTAGCAGCGAATTGTTGCAGTTGTACGATTTCCAGCATATATAGTGGAAGCGGGGTGGAAGCGTACCCTTCCTGAATACACTTTCCACAGGAAGAAGGATCGTGTGGTCTGCATCTGTGATTTAGGACTGCTGGGAGTCCGTAGTTGTAACTTGAACAATTGCACAAAAGTCACGCCATATTAATCAGAATTGCTTCTCTAACCATTTCGGTATATATAAGTATAAGTGTACTTTGCAAGTCGAGCAACAGGCCAATTCTCTCCTCGCCACATTCAATCAGTGACGCCATTGTTACGTCATCACTTTAGACATCACCTTTTAACTTCATTTTCAGACCACGATGAACTGACAATTTAGCTGCTGGTAACAAACTTGTCTTGAGAAGAACAATGGAGAAAAACAATGGAGAAATCTGATGTATAAGCGAATTCTGCTCTGAAGTGAAATATGCTGACATTTCGTGTAGCTACCATCCGAAACTGCGAGACGTATTTGCCAAGTATATGGAAGAGCGCCTGGTGGACTTGCTTTTCAGCACAAGTCTCAGGTGAGCCAATCGTCCTACCTTGAATGGATCTAAAGTGACAACAGAAGGAGCGAAAATACTTCGACTCTGGAGATTTTGCACTTACTGCGACTGGTAAGACGACTGATAATGGCGTTCTAAACACCGGTGAGACTCATCCACGCCGCTCAAATATTTCACGCCCTCATGCCTCGGTTCCCGGGAACAGTAATGTTCAAGAGGACGCCAATGAAACCCTTCAAGACCGAAAGAGTAGCGATTTCGTGATGACGAAAAGCCCTTTACATCAGCATACTGATCAACAGAGCAAGAAAAGCGCGCGTCCCAAGTCACATGAAGCTATATGACCGAATCGTGTTAGCAGCCGGCTAGCCTTTGGCAGACTGATTGAATCGAGATGTCTATACCTTCGCTACACATTAATCAATAACATGAAACGCTAAATGAATTGTTACGTTGTAGGCCTAGCATCTTTAACATGCTTTCAGAGGCGCGAAGTTACAATAGAACGCGTGGTGTTAAGGACAGTTCCAGCGGCATGATAAACAGTACAATGTCATTAGATAGCGTCGAGCTAAGCTGGCGACTGTGGACTGTGGATAGAGGGCAGTAGAGTTAACAGTACATAGTAGAGTTATATCGTGCATGGAATTACTTACGATTGTCGGCTGTTAAGTTGCCATGTGAATACCACAAAAGGTAACCCGCCACATGGTGCTGCCTCTTGCCCCAACCGGGAAAGATCTAGGTTCTTGTGATTTAGGGTTAGGGTTAATTACAATCATCCGTGAAGGAGCAGACCTATATGGTATTGGTGGGAAGGCTCCTTCTAAGAAACTGGAATGTCTTGCATTAACGCTTTAGACAGCAGTCATGGGACAGCAGCACTTAACTTAGTCCTGAGATCTTGTCTGGCGGTAGAACGTGATATAGTAGTATTGCCATGATTATCGTGTCTAATTTATGATGCCACGCCTAGATCATGACGAAACTGTGGCTATTCGCGGTTGTCAAAACCTCTGTTGTTCCTGCTTCGTTTTGTTGACCAGGTGTTGTTACTGCTGTGTAGATATCCTACAGCAGCCGGTCTCCTTTTTAGATTTCGGAGCTCTGTGACTGTTTCTCCCCAACCGCCTTTGGCATTCAAGCCCACAATCAATCCATCCTCCCTAGGCAAGAATCAAGTCGGTACTGCAGAATGGCCCGTCTACTGAGGTGTCCGAGTAAGTTCTATTTGCTCGCTTGCAAATAATGATGAAAATTGCGTCTGTGAGAATTCGGCGGTAGTCCTAACGTTAAACAGACGGAGGGAAATGTCGCTCATCCGCTGTGAAGTCGTAGGGATGGAGATCAGTAGAAAAGTGACCCATAGTGAAAAGAAGCGTCCGAATGAGGAAAAGTAATTATCGACCGGTCCATGGAGTTCCTAAAGAAATGTGGCGATACTCGTGTTCAGAGATTATTGTGCTGGTATCTCAGTAAGTCAAACGAATTTCCACTGTTGCCATTGGCGGAGTGCTAATGCTCGTTGTAGAAGTCTGCAATCTGGATACCTCGGTGACTTTAGCCACCATGTCCTGTCCTTCAGGCACTTGCTGAACTATATCATCATCCACGGCAGTCTCGACTCCGCTAAGACTAACGCGTACTATGCGAACAATGCAACCTGGATTGACTTTGCATTTCTCTGCTATCTTGACAGTAAGATTGCTAACTGTCCTTTCGCTTAGATAGAGAGCTCGGTAGTAATCGCCCTTTTCCTCATCGGGAAATCGAATGTAAAAACATGCAACTATTAAATGTTTGCCATTTATTTCACTCGGGTAGATTACTAGACACTCACTTGGCTTAGGAGGGCGTTTCACGGGCGGCTCGCAGAGTGGATTAAGGTCCAGAGCTTCAGTGTAGCCAGTTGTGCCTTTCTTTATCTTCACTTGTTGTGTGATGGAGATGGCATCGCGCCACCTCATAATCTCGTCTTGATGCATAAAAGTATGATCTGACAACAGCTATTTCGAAGGCTGTCGTCAAGAGTTGGTATCGAAGAAAAGTACTGTTTGTTGGGGAGAGAAAGCTGGCGAGACTTTCAGCTTTGCAGGTGGGGGCAGCTTCCCTCTCAGCGACTGCCAGCTCCAGTTTACTCCAGTTTACTATGTAGACTAAGCAGTTACATGAAACACTAATGACAGGATGGTAGACTCGTACAGAAACAACATCAAGTTCATCCACTATTTTCAACCACCTCAACAACACATTTCCAAGATCAACTGCCTACAAAGGAACAATGACAATTTGCACTTTTTATTGGTCGTCTTTGGTAGCCGCTGAGCCCTCCTTGGCGCCCATTTAAAACCTGTTTACCATCTTGCCTCGTTTTCAGATGGCCTTTGCTCAAGATAAATTAGCATTACGAGTCATAATTATTTGGAACCATCGATCATTTTAGAGCTGACCTCTGATGTCATATCAACTAGAGTTCTGTACTGTCCTGCACTCTAATATCTGTCCTTCAACATTATTCAAATCAGCTTAAACGGGCGACTGATTGCGTGAGTTCACGAGATAGGCACTACGTGCTGCTATTCCTGCTGAGATATCTATCACCAGGAATACGTCAACATTCAGAATATACTTCGAAAGAAAGCCGCTTTGGACGGATGTCGGATAAAAGGAGCTATCCAAAGTTGGAGTCTGGGCAAGTCATGATGATGATGATGATGATGATGATGATTTATTACACCCGGAGGGGTTAACCCTAAGTTAGGGCACTAGTGCGCTAGATACATGCAATTCGTGTGTTTCCGACCCATCCTCCTAAATGCCCCAGTCCTTCGTGGAAAGTCGCCTTCTCGTGGTGAGGGACGTCAGTAAGCTGGATTGCATGATCTAGCCGAAGCTGAGAACTTTCCAAGTCGAAATGCCGGTGGAAAATCTCTCATCGTTGGAGCGACCGGCCAGGAGAGCTTTGAAAGGACACGTCTGCAATAACAATCACGTCGACGAGCTTTCTCATCGTTTACCTACCTGCCACCAATCGACACTCACCGAATTCTGCTCACGATAACTCACCTGCCCTACCGGTTCGGCCACATTTCGATTCGTCAGTCCTTCGTCTGCTATCTGGAGTTGTCACCAGGGAGGCATTCAGCTACTTCGGGCGCTAATGTGAGAAGTATTCTTGGTAAATCGCTACTAAGGGAAGAGGTCCACGAAACTACACGGAGAATGGACACACGGGGAGTCCGGTGTCTAAGAGGGATGGGTTATTGCATTTGGAGAACATGACTACAACGACAAAAAGGAAACGTTCAAGACATAACGTATGGGCTAGAGGGATTTTTGCAGCTGATACAGTTTTTCCTCTCGACATGAGACCATGACCACATTGTACGTAATGCAGGACAAATAGCGTATTGGAGCCCTTTAGGCTTGGTGCCTCCGGGCGTAATGAATTTACTACTACTACTACTACTACTACTACATACCGCTTCAATTGAAATGACTGAGTACAAAAAGCGACCTCTATAACTTTAAGTGTGAATCTAATTGCATAATTCAGCCTAAAATGGGTCTTCTCTTGCGTGGGTGCTTGTGCAAGTAAATTTTGACGGAGACAGCTCTTGAGCCATGGATATCCTGCACTAGACATCTTTTGAGAAATATCTTGCTTGCGTTATATTACACCTACATGGTATTCCTCGTATGCGAAACTACTCCTATGCAACTGGATTCTAGTCTCATTGTTGTGTGCCTCATGGAAAAGATGTCTCTTGCGCGAAGGATCTCTTGAGCATAACCTGTCTTTACACAATTTGATTCTCCAGTTTTGCTTTTCGATCCATGTACAGGATCTCCCATCTAGAGCAAAAATTCCAGATAAAGCCATTTTTGGTGGTGAGGAAGAACAGGAAACCCTAAGGTACATCTAGGAACAAGACATAACGCGAAGATGCGAGAAATATATTCTAGTTGCTCTGCCATATCCCCTTCGCGTGTCAATAGATTTTGACGACTTCTTGCAAATTACCAGCAATTCATGAAAGAGGCTTCACATATCGGGACACAATATAGGAAGGTTCAAACATATAGAATACTTAGATTCCTAACTAAAAAAAACATAGAAACATGTATAAAATCTTGGAAGTGGTCCAGTATACCATGTACGTGTCGATAACATATGTACCTAGGCAGATCAACACAATATGAAAGGTGCTAAATCCGCCTTGACCTGTCATTCAATTCTGATTCCAGAACTTGCATGGTTGAAAGTGACATTACTTCCGATGGCTTCGGTGCCTTGAGAACGAATCAGGATATGGTAAAAACATTAGAGAACAAATGTTGAAGGAAACTACTTACCTGTAGCGCCGACACCCAGTCGAAGTGTCCGAATCGCTTAGTCAACCAGACATCAGCGGGCTTTGTTGCACCACCTGGCCCACCAAGAATCGTCTGAGGGTAGCCGAGATCAAAAGGCAGGGCACTCTCTATCTTTGCTATCTCCTCCGGAGTGAATACTATACCTAGCGCATCAATACTTGCTTTCAAATGCTCGAGTTTTCCGCCTCCGATTACTGGAAAAACCCAAGGCTATTTGGACCTGGCCCAGGCCAATGCAATGCTTGTGAGATTTGTATCCCTAGCTTTAGCTATGTCTTCCAGAGTATCGGCCATAATGGCCTTTCGAGGTTTGTCAATAAAAGCAATATTGCGGCCCTCTCGTTTGGTTTCTGGATCCTGCTTCTCGGCTGCTCGCTGAGCCGATGTGCGAAAGTATCCGGATCCCAGAACTCCATAAGGCATAAAAGCCATGCCTTCGTCATTGTACATTGGTAGAATATCTCGTTCAACATTATGCTCCGCGTGTTGCATCGATAGCAAGTCTGATGGCAGTTGCTTTAGCTTGAAACAGTTGCTTTTCTGATTAACATTCTCTGCTTGTTGATCTCCGTACTTCCACTTTTGCTTTTGCTTCCAGTCTATATCTATATGTGCTGGGACCTATATTGCATTGACCGTGTTTCCTTGCATTTGCGATATCTAGACTAGGTTGTATATCTATTGGATGATCTTTTGCCCAGATTGTTGACCAGGTTGACTGATTGCTGCTAGTGCCAATCTATTGCTACTAAGTATGGATATCCACCTCTGATGTGTCTCAGATGGGATACGTTTCAACGCAGCTGCCATTGCTTCCAGCTAAGCTATGTATAGCTTTAGTTCTGTCCTTTTGCCTAGCGTGGTAGAGTAGCTAGATAGGTTATTTCCGCTATTGTCTGCTTGGGTGTCTCTTATACAGCCTCTCATACTTACGATACCTGATCTGGCAGATATGCTTGTAGAAATTAGGACGCCTACTGCCTTGCTAGCGATTTCACTAGCTTTTACCTTATCTTTTCTACATATTGTTTGGATCTGTGCTGTCTATAGTGATGTTGTGAATGCTTAGATAGTTTCTATCTGCTCAATTGTTGTTGCTGTTGCTTCTAGGGCTCGAGATATCTTCTGTAGCGGGGATTTGAATATTCGGATCATGATAGTCCTTAATTTGAGCAGTGGGTTTGCTTTGGGAAGAGTCTGGATATCGATCCATAGCTTCGTAGCCTTCTCTAAATGACAGTTATGGAAAGGTTGGATGCCCGCTTCTGCTTCAGCTACTGCGGTTGCGACTGTCCGAAAGGCTCCTGTAACTGCAATAGCTCCTTGTTTCTGCATTCTGTTCAAATACTGTGTTCCTTTTGCTTTACAGGCATGCATCCAGACATTAGAGGCATAATCTGCCACTGGTGCAACTGTTGCCATGAACAATTGTCTTGCCGTCCGTGGGGAGATCCCATCACAATGCAAGTGGCCATGACTGACATTGAGAGCCTCATGAATATAGATCAGTCCGTGTAACAACTATGCAGCATTAGTCGTCGTTTCAGAGATGAATTGTATTTGAAATACTTTTTTGCAGATTGTCGCCACTGCGATTCGATCCAACATCTTGGCTTTTTGGAGCTTGGTCAAAGATATTCCTGGCCTCTCATAATGTAGAAATAATTTATCTCCACAGACTGAGATATCCAAGAGGTTTAGCAGGTTCGGATGATTGGTTCGCAGCACAGGATTGGATCTTCCGTCCACAGCGTCAAGGTCCATTTTTTGGAGAAAGGTCGGCCGGCATGAGACGTCGCCTATCTCCATTCCATAGAAACCCTCGCCGTATTCTTCTGGGAAGAAGTTGGTAAGAATGGTATCGATTCGCGAATAGGGAGGCTTTTTGGAACTGTAGATCAGTAACTGAATCGTCCTCCTTTCGTGAATAACCTCATTGTTATTGGAGTCTCGAGCCAGACTCAATACAAGATGCGCCTCATCAATAACAACAGCATTAACATGTTAATTGATTTCAGGTTCTTCAAAAATATATTGCATTTATTCGTTCGCAGCCAACTCAGGGCTCAGTAAGAGATGTGTATATTCCTCTTTCTTGATGTCCATTAATAAGCAGGTCTTGTTGGTGTCTTTCTCTATAAATAGAGGATGGCCACCTAGATGTGTTATGGCTTCGGATTGATCGATACCAATCTGAATTAGTAGAAGAATAACAATAGTCATGGTTCGATTCATGAGAATTGATAATGCCTGTGGAATCATACTCTTACTAAAGGACGTTTTTGCAATCAGAATCAGATCACCACGGTTGAACATAAGCTAGAAAAGTGCATCCAGCTGACCGGATCGAGCAGCATATGGATAAAGCATTTTTAGAGCATCGGAGAGTGCCTTTTTCTGTACATTAGATGCCTTGCTAGCTGCATGCCGGATCAGCTGCTGCGCTTTCTGTACCTTGGCCACTCGCTCTGGGTTTATCCCTGACTTCGGGGATTCCAGAATCACAGGAGATGCCTGCTGGAGCGGTCGTCCACATTGATTGAGTACTTGGTGCAGTGTTAATTGACCAGGCGAGCAGGATTGTTGTGATATTCCTCGCGGGTGTCAATATCGCCGGCGGCCCATGTTCAGGAGTGTATTTTATCACTCACAACTGGTGTTCTCGGGGTAATTTTGAATTGGTGAAAGCTTGCAAGTAGTCAACTTGATTCGTCCTTCTATATAGAAATTGAGCCTGGTTTCATGAAGCAGGAATTTTCTGAAGTTTGTTAGCGAAAAAAAGTCAGATCTTTCAAAAGGAATTTAAGTATATCAACGGCCGAAAACCACTAAAAACGCGTATCAAACTGTAATAAATCAAGCGGCAAATGTAATAATATTTATAAAAATATAGAAAAACACGTATTTGTTGAGTAATAGCTGTTGATTATGGACACCTATATTTGTTGTTTTGTTAGGCGTACGCGCAATACAGCTGGGCTGGAGAGGGAGAAGGCATGGGAAGTGAGCGTGCAAGCGTGGAGGTAAGCACCGTCAACCTCACTCAAGATCCAAGATACCTATGTAATGTAGTATTCCTCCAAAAACTCTACGAAGTGAATCGACATGATACAGAGCGTTTGTATTTCCCAACTATCACGACTTTGAACTTTTAGCATCCATCAATGGGGCCATAGACCGATGTCCTATTAGAAGCTTATACTGCTTCGGGAAAGATCATTTCATTCAATTTCGCACCTTCAATCCCTAAAGTAACGGCCCCAAACCTCGCGAACTCCGTCTTGCTCAAATTTTTCCAAGAGTGCTGAGATGCACGCTGCACACACACGTCACCCGGCTTCATAATCCTTTTTTCCCCACTGTCCAAAGTCAACTCCAGCTCCCCATCTATAATGAACACGTAATCAAGGGTCTGCGACCGATGCATAAATCCATCCTTTCCATCAGGATTCGGTGCAAACTTCAATCATTGTTATTAAAGAGTTCTTGATAAGGAAGGTAGAAAAGCTCTGGAATCTTACACTCGCGACCATAGCAGCACTTCCACCCGCAAGGGGAAACATGACGTATGGATGTTCTCTGCGAACATCTTCATTCTTCCTGTAATCGTCCATGTCCGTAAGGACAGGCCCGTTTGGAGAAGCGACAGTAGAGTAAATGTAATCCACACGCAGAAAATCATTACTCTGCTGCACAAGTGGCGGGTTTGGCGCAGCGAGGAATGTTGATTTACCCTGCGGATCGTACGACGTGATGAAGTGAGAGATTTCAGGGATAATACTTTGATTCGCCATCTCGATTCGAATACTGAAACCGTGATATCTTAAAGGGGATGAGACTGTAGGAGAAGAATTGTGAATTGGCCGCTGAATACCTACTCAGAAAGATAATATGGGGTGTACGCTGCCCTTAAATAGTTGTCACACTGACAGAGCCGGATATCCTTATTCCCTGACCCAGCGCGAATTGGTAAGGCCCCCGTCAGGTCTCCACGGCTCTGAATAAGCGCCATTGCTTGATAGCAGTTTTCATGCACAAAGACCGGTAGCTTGGGTCCCATAAACTTGAGATTCATGTCAGTATTCCTTCCGAAGTCAACTTTTCATCAAGGCATTCGCCGCCGTGACCTCCGTTTACGGGAACTCGGAACTCCATATTCTACGAAACGCCTTTCTCCGCTCGACCACCCGTTGAAGAAACTCTTTATTGATACTGCTACTGGCAAGCTCGGTAGCGTTACACGGAACTCCGGATACCTTCTTATTGAAATCTCAGTTATCCTTGCTCTGCTTGGCACTCGGAAATGCCCAGCTTCAGCGCTGTAGCCGAAATTAGTAGCTCACCCCTGTACTCGATTCGTATAATGACATTAGAGAGCGTCGAAGAAGAATATGTTTTGGAAACCACGATGGCTGTTGAGTACCAGCTCTTTGGAGCACTTCACGCGAGTACAGATATGATGTATATCTGCTATTTGAGAGTAAGGTCTATGCTGCCAAACGTGATAACAAATTTCGAATTCGGCGAGATTAATGTTTCTTTTCCTCCAGTTCTGTGACTTCATTCCTTGTCTCTTTTCTGCACCAACAAAGCCAGCTCGATTGAATACTGCTCGGTCCTCTGCAAAGAATTAGACTTGCAAATTTATACGGTATGAAGGATTACGTTCGTCGATTTATCAAAGCCGTAACACTTTCAGATACACTCTTGAGAGGAATATGTCCCAGTGTCTTTAACCTGTGCCGTACGAAATGTTTAGCTCCTGATATCGGTAATTGTACTACAGTAGAACTGTTATATAAGAATACTATCGGGACCCCGCAATCATAGATAATATAGCCATTTATTCTCTTATGTAGAGGTTCTATTGTGCCCATATGCAAAGGGGTAGTGGTACGGACTTCGGAAGACGCAGAATAAGGACGGTTGAGGCAAGAGTGCCAGTAAGAGCGGTGGCTTAAAACAGAGACAGCCTGTATCTCAACCCACTATATTACTTGAACATGCGGGATTCGTTTCTATACCTAGAGACCTAGAGCTCTTTCTTGCGTTGAACTGCGCAGTAGGCCTAATTACTGTTTACAGATAGCAGTGACCCCGTGAATATTAACATCCCAAATTCATCAGCCTCACTAAGCCACTCTTCCACCCGCTTAGAGGCGTATGACTCCGTATGTTGTATCAGTAATTCACCCATTAGTACTTCCCTGCCCTTCCACGCCTTGAACCAATTTCCATACTCTTCCCTCCATGTTTCATATTCCCGAGCCTCCCATAACCGTCTGCACACCGGAGCTGGGATGAAGTCGAGTTCATCACAGGAGTAAACTGGTATGCGGTTCAGAAAGCAGACGACACAGTCGAAGACGTATATCGCTAATACTGTTCGCTGTGCTGCGGAAGCAATTGCCCACAACTCGCGGTCAGGAACCTTGCTAAAAATGTCGGCCCTGGGAAATTCTGTCATAGCCAGTAGACGATATGCCATCTCTTGAAGCTGGCCTAATACGAGTTGGGTGCCATATTTCGCCGTAGTATTGGAGTCGAGACATATCATAATCGAGTAGATCAAACTTGCTTGTAACGCCGCCAACAAGTCGACCTGTTCATATGAGCGATGCTACGCTTTATCATTAGCAGAATAGGACCTGATACTCCAGGGTGTCATACATTCTTATACAGCCTCTCAACCTCGCCTTGCATAGCATTCAATAATATCGCGTCCAGATTTCCTGTTCTGTGTTCCCACATCTTTGTCCAAGCTAGGCAATCCACAAGCGGCGTAGGGATGGTTCTAGACGTAGTTTGTAGCCGATGAATCATCGGTGGTAAAGTGCCGTCCCTAGCTATCATCTTTGGGTAACACTTTAGAACCTGCGTCATGAACCTGGCCGAGGCTTGGTTCACGGAGACTGTTCTATTCGGAGGTTTGAATAACGGGTTGATCCATCTACTACGAATGGGCGAAAGCTTATCTTCACCGCCTACAAGAGTTAGTTCTGATAAGGGTTTTGATGCGACGACGGGAATACCAGAATCTCTTTGCCTCCAAGGACAATAAATTAACATCTGCGAAGATGGGTCGGAAAGAGTCATGGTCTCTGAGGGGAGAGGAAGGGGTGATAAAGAATATGGCGCCTGGAGTTGGTACGACGAGCCATAAATCTCTGACATGCCGAAGGAGGACGTGGCGGGAGGGAAAGAAGCCCCTAATGAAACTAATGATGTTTCTCCGAACGCCGTAAGAGAATTGTCTATTATCGTTTGCCCTCCATCCAAAATTGGCTGATATGTCCATGACTCTAATACATCTGACGATATTGTATCCCAATGCTCCGGTGCGATACCCGCCGACCTATCCGTAGAGATAGAGGAGGGATATATACATCCTAAATTCTTCTCGCTGCATCGCGAGCAAGAAGGTTGTCGTAAGTCACAGCGTGTCTTGTCACTTACACAATGGGAACAGGACTTCTGTCGTGGTGGTGTGGGCTGCTTTCGTCGACAACGTCTGATGTGGCGTTTGCATGACGATTCTACCGTATCCAGTAAGCTTAGTTCTCGGTACGTGGACTGGAATACAACCTTGCTCGAAAGATTTTCGACAGATTGAACACTTGAAAGCTGACGGTTGGTCCGTAATCTCAGCCATAGAGAAATGTATCTGGAGTTTTATGTAACTGTAGAGGCCTGATGTTAGTGAAGTTGGGAAAATTGAACGAGCAAAGTGCCTCAGAATAGAGTTTTCATGGCGCTTGCTCCTGGCCACGGAGTTCCGTGGTCACCTCTCTTAGAGATTCTACCGGGGCCTATATGTAGATTCCGGAGTTCCGACAATATTGCTCAGGCCCCAAGCTCACCGCCTTTGCCGTGTCAGCAAATGAGACACCTGGTGTTGGATTATTACTAATCCGTGGGGGCAGATTCGGCAATGATTCCTAGCTTTGCTACGTGGAAAGTGTTCGTATTGAAAGTAGAATTAACAAGCAAAATTGTATGTCTTCCCCCCTTCTCTCTTGCTAAGAATTGAGGGTGATTCTATGTCTTTATATATTCCAATGCGGTCTCAGAGAAGTAAGGGAAATAACAACAGGAATTTCAGCTAAGGCAAAGCGAAGAATCCGAGTCACAAACATGAAACTATACAGGTTTGACCACTGTAGTTGATTGGTATCAAGGGGCATTTTGGCGATGTGCACTTTCTTAATTAGGGTCAGAGGTATCGTCCTGTCGACACCTAGTTATCTAACACCTGGAGGGGGCCGCCCAAGCCTGACCCACTAACTTTATACGTCACTCCTGAGGATGTGTAGAATCTACGTGATATACCCGTTCTGTGTCTCTTGTGGTCCATTTCATGACTATACCGCCGCAGCCTAGGTGCCTAGTGAAACTTATTACAGCTGAGCACCAGGCATGTTCACAGCTCCGGGAGCGTGTACGGCATCAGACAAGAGAACCGTAGATCCATATTGCAGAATTGAACTTCTCCAGGGGATTTCTTCCGAGGGACATAGATAGTTCAATTGTGTTTTCAATTTCCATTTGATTGAAACTCAAAACTAGAAGCATTCTAATATATTAGAGAACCTCATTTCTCTCTTTGAATATGGGCTCCACCAGGTCCTTCGCATCATGCGGAGTTCAAAACCATTCTGGAGGATCCTTCTCAACACCCTTCCAAAGCTCCTCATAAGCCTCCAGCAGCTGCTTATTCAAACGCCCCTTCTTACAAAACTCGACATTACTCCTCAACTGATCGAGCCTCGACGCCCCAAGAATGATCGCATCTCCCTCTCCTAAAGCTGAATGATGCACAATCCATCTCAAACTGACTTCCGTCGGCGTTACACCTGCAGCATCACATTTCTTACAAAATGCAATCATAGCAGTGTGAATAGCCGGTTTATCGAATGCTTTAATATAAAATGGAAAGCGACCTGGTTCCCAGCGACCTCCAGAAAGTGTCCCTGCTTCAGTAGCCAGACTTACCTTTCCTGTTAGAAAACCTCCTGCGAGTGGGCTGCGAGAAATCAGCATTGCAATCAGTCAATCAAGGGTACAGCGGACCTGTAAGCATGTATTCGGATAACATTCTCTTTCAAGAATGGGAAAAGTTCTGTTTCAGGCGCTCTCCTGATGGCGTTGTAATGACCTTGCCAGACGGTGGGTTTAACATAATTATGTCTCTTGCAAACTTGCAACCATTCTCTCACTTGCTTGTAGGAGTGATTGCATAAGCCAAGCTACAGAATTATTAGATGCACAAAAGGTAATGGTGAGCTGGGGATGCACCTCTCTGAAAAGTCCAGCTCGGTAATGCTTATCAAAAGCCCGAGCACTCTCCTCGACGGGAGTGTTTGGGTCTGGGAAATGCGCATACAGGATGTTGCATTGCTTCACACCCAGTAATTCCAAACTTTTCTTCAAGCTCGAATCAATGGCAGCCTCGGACAACCCACCGCTGATGGCTGTCCGCTCGATTTTTGTGTCAATCACAAATCCCTTCCCAGCTGCACGGCTCTCACCCAATAATCGTTCACTGACCCGTGGACTTCCCGGTGGAGAGGATGCCGCTGAGTCCAATTCCGTGATCTCTAGCTCCTTCAATACGTCGAGAAGTTCGGAAGTTTGCTCGCCAGTGGTCCAGGCGTGGGTTATGGTACCCTCCCCGATACCTCCAGCACCAAAAACAAGTTGAACTCGCGGAGGAGTTGCCATAGTTTGTAGTTGCAGCTCTTTGTGGATGCTGAATGATATGATGGCGGGGCTGATTCAGTGAACATAAATTAAGAGGACAGAGAGTGGCGGAGGTGTAACTTGCACTCCATGCGTGAACGCCGGGGATGGGATTTCCTGACTTAATATACTCCCGCTTCGTAGTGGCCATGGTGATCGATAGTAACTTCGACTGACGGAATGACTCCCGTCTCGGACGAAGTCTATTCAAGTCACATAAGGTCGCGGCGTAACTATCCAGCCGATTTACTTCCTAACAAACGCATCCCTGCTTTAGTGTATTTTGTCTCGGCTGCTAAAGTAGTTTGATGTAACCTGAGGAACTCAGGTTCTATTCCATAATCCTCATCCGAGCTGCGCGCCCCGGAACTCCATGTCCGCAAAATCCGACAATACTTGGCAGGGAAATCTAGGCACATCTCTTCATATCGAGTTGCTGTTTTTTTGCCCGACGGCTGCTGTATGTTAGAAGATCGAATTATCAAAGCCGTTCGATTTCTACTACGCGGGAGCAGCGCACCCACAAGGCGAAGCCAGCTGGCCCCAGCTCCAAGGACAGACGAAGTGCGTCAACTGTGGAGGACTTCATCCTGCCTGGGACCGCCAGTGTCTTGGAGTCCTTAAGGACCAGGCACATGTGGCGTACCAACGTCGACCCCAACAGTTCGAAGTCCACCGTGGTAGTAGTGGATCTAAGACTATCAGTCTCACACGCAGTCTCACACCAGCGTTATCCCTAGACAGCGACGATGGCTTCCAAGTTGCCTGTATTAAGAGACTTGGGCTGATTTAGCTGGTTCAATTTACGCACAAGAAATTGAGGAAGCGTCGCGTCATGCTTCCGGAGAGGCTATGTAATCAAAAAGATCAGGTGTGCATATCAACGTACATTAGAGCCGTATGAATAATCACAAATGGCCCTCCTTCCCGGCCCCGGAGTACCGTGGTCAACTCGTCGATTCTGGAATCGCAACGATGCCGCTGGCGCCTTTGGCTTACGGCCTTCGCTACCTCTGCAAATGAGGATAAGCAACTTAAGTACAGCTATTCTCAGGACCGCCTTGAGTCATTGATTTTGTTTCATGCATGCCCCGATTGCTCTGCTCGAAGTCATTCAAAGATAGCTAGCTCATCACGACGTCAACCCACGGTGTTATCCACCTCCTCCCCACAACCAAATGACTTCCCCTCTTAAAGATTTGGATAAGTCGGAGCTCTCTGAGAACTACAGCAGCGGCAGTAACGTTCATGTTCTGGTGGTTGACAGCATGTCAAAGCTTCCTCCAGAAGCTAACGGCGCCGTCGTTGTTGGCGGTTCGAATGCCGCGATATACGCGACGTTTATCTCGGCCAAAGCTGGCGCCCGGGCTGCTATTCATCATGATTGCGGCATCGGTCGAGATGAAGCAGGGATCAGAGGCCTGCTTTGGGCGGAACAACACCGCATGGCTATGGCGGCCGTCGCGACTGACAGCGCCCGCGTCGGCGACGGTGCAGACATGTTCCAACGCGGGGTCATCAGCCGTGTCAACAGAATTGCGGCCATGTGTGGTGTAGAGAACGGTCAAACCGTCGTACAAGCAGCGGAGCTTTTGAAAACCGCGCCTTGGCCTCACGCAGACGTGCAGCCGCCGGTCGAGGGACGCACCTTTATTCACGGCGTCCTCTGCATAGACTCCCTCTTACTCGGAAATCCAGAAGATTCAGGCTTGGTCGTGGCGACCGGTAGCCATGGCGGTGTAATCGCGGCCGGAATGACGAGTTCATTTAGGCCACGCCTCGCTTTCTTCAATGATGCCGGGTTCGGCGCTGATCGTGCGGGTGTAGCCTGCCTTCCTATTCTAGATTCCGAAGGCATTGCCGCCGCTACGGTTGCCGCAGACTCGGCGTGTATTGGTGACGGTAAGTCAACGCTGACACAGGGTATTGTCTCGGCCGTGAATGAAACGGCATACCGACTCGGCGCCAGAGTCGGGGAGACGGCCCTTAAAGTGGCACGCACCGTGGTGGAGATAGCCTGAATAGTTCACTTAGAACAATCCAAAATGAAGCTGAAATGATATCATTCGCCGAGGCCAACTGATCCCTCTGTGTTAACGTACTTGATAAGTCACCTGGCCATACAAAGTAGGCTGGACACGCCCCACCAAAACCACTTTTATTGGTGACCTCACTCAGTCAAGATAGGCAATGTATATATAGTTTGGCCGCAACGGGTCACCTGTCGTTGAGGTCTTACGCGCAAAGCGTATGACCACAACGTCAGAGAGGGCCCCGTCCGCGCTCCCTTGTGGGGAGGCAATTGTCTGTATTGTAATGGCACTATGAATCTATGTACATAGGGAGGTGGGTGGGAAAAAATCAAGTCTTGACTGCGTGAGAGATGACGAGCAACTTGCGGAGGGGAGCGGCTGACTCTCGTGAGGCAGTTGTAAGAAGGAAGAACCCCGCAGTACGCAGGACGTTGGGTGAAGACTAATCCGCAGTGTATCGGAACTTGCTGTGTACTAGCACAAACTCAGTTAAGCTCAATACTCAAAGATGTCTTTATAGTGGAAATATTGATGTCGGTATAGCAATCTTACCTATCTCGGCGCGGGAATGGGATATCAGCCGGTTTCAAAATGTTTGAGACTCTTGGCACGGATTTCTTCAAAAATGTCGACACACGTACATTTTCCTACATATTTTAAACTCCACGCGCAACAACGTGCTAATACGCGTAATTTTATACAAAATCTCATGTCAACTTTGAAAACAAAGTCATTTCTAGTTTAGGAAATCTCCGAACATTGTGATATCGAACCATGCCACCTCGACGCGCCTCCAAGGATGCCACTGCCTCTCAGCAACCTCCAACAACGAACCCATACAACCTTCGATCGCTTCATATTCCACGTTCTATTCGACCGGGGGAGAGTTTTGATGAAAGGCACTATGTGCCAACTAGAGCCCAGAACTAAATATAGCGCATGAAGGAGCGGCAAGAGGAATTCGGATTACCTGCGCTAATAATATTAAAAACCACTATACAGAAAACTCGTCAAGACGCTGCAAAGAAGTCAAATAGTCATCGCAAGCGGCCAGCACCTTCAGGAAGGAAATCTACTACACGGTCTCCTTCCAAAACGCCATCTACAAAGCGAGTACGGTTCGATATAATGTCTTTGAGAGACGCTCTAGACAGTTCAGTGGAAACTACACCTCTCCGCGCACAATCTAATGCACCAAGGGATGAGTCTATTATTGCATCCCTGAAAATAGATACTAATGAGGAAACCGATAACAATAAAGATAGCGTTAGTGAGGATGATGATCTTCCCGTGGTAGTTCTAGGTAGACCTCCAGGTTGGAATATGGCTGATTATTTGAACAGTAAATATAATGAAGAAGAGAATCACCTGCTGCGTGATACGCCATTAAGCGAGTCAACACCATTTAATTCACTGGATATCGAGATAGTAGCGACAAACCTTTATAACACGAAGGAGGATTTCAAAAACTTAGCGCTAAACAACATATCAAGGTCGCCGAGCACGCTCTTCGTGAGGCCCAGGAGGATATTAGTATTGTCAACACATCTGATATCCAGGATAAATTTAATCATGAAATCAGCCAGCGTGATTATTTGATTGGCATTGATCTGAGAGTCTATATTAACAAGCGAAAAGTCATCAGTCAAACACTCCATGATATGACTCAACATTCATTTAATCTTGGTATTATAGAAGATCAGTTCCATGACTAGATTGTTAAATACACTAATGACGAACCTTTTACATTTGAAACTTATACGGCATTTGTGAAATCAATGTCTGGTTATGGAAGACAATTAAGCCATCAATTTGATGATTTTTCTATCACCGAGACCCTCAAAGTTTTAGATCTCATTGATAATAAATGAGAGGCTCATCCCAGTATAGCTTTATGCATTCTTTTTGAGATTAAAGTGGCCTGCGAAGCGCTTATATCAAAGAAAAAAAGGACAGCAATATCGACAGCTCAACAACCCCAGGATCTAATATCTATTCTACGCTCGCCCCCTGTACTGCCGACACAAATCCATTCTACTCGTACCACTTAGTTATTGGAAGAGGCTGCAATCCGTGAAGCGAGACGAGACCGAATATTGACAGCTGGTAATTTCCAACGTCAGTTGATGTAGAAATATCAATGCAATAATAGAAACTGTACGAATTATAATAACTTTTGCTTCCCTGATCCTATAGACAATACTCAGCACTATAATATCCTTGCTACTCAGCATAAGCTTTGGGCCAATCGGATAGCTTTAGGTGGTGTAACCATCGAAAATCCACCAGATGAGTTGAAGCAGTATTGGACGAAAAAACAAGGTTCGATAAACTGAGATTCTCGACAACCTGTTAAAAAGAATAATGCCCAGATCATGAAGCAATTTATAGAGATGCAGACAAAGATATATGAGTAACAAATGCAGTATAGATTGATAGAATAGATGGAAGCAATGCAGGAAAAACAGGAACATCATAATAAGGAGAAAGAGCGTCGTTATTTACTGTGAGAACAGCGTGATTTATTAACACAAACACCTCATCAAATGGCTTATTCATTGCCTCGAAGATCAACAACAAGCCCTTCTTTACTATCATTTAAAATTAATAAAACTCCTACATGATTTGAGGCTATTCCCGCTACACCAACACCACGCCCGAGGTCATCTAGTTCGATAGATTCAAATGAGGATAAATATGACACGCTTGCCAAATTTTTCACCTGGAAAATCAACTCAATCAAGAATCAAGATAGGAAGAAGAAATAGGAAGATGCTTAATCGACCATATTTGCAAATGACTGGTCTATACGAGAGTTAAGGCAAATGGAAGACGATAAAACCCCGGCATATCAACATGCAATAAAGGTAGGCATCTCAGACGGTCTGGCAAGAGGCTTCAAGAGAGAGTTACGCCAGTATAGGCAGTTCGTACGCCATGTCCACGACGAACATGCTGCAGCCATAGCTCTAGGTGCGTTAGGAGGTGGAAATTCAACTATATGATGAAGTTCTAGGTATTAATACATTACTTTATTAGATTATTTCATTTAATCGCTTTGTTTGATTACTTTAAGAATATTTAATACTATTCACTGAATAAGTTGACGCTTAGATCTGCCTCATACTGCGCGAGAAATTAATAAAATTCAATGAGTTCTTTCTCTTCAATATACACTCTATTCCTAGCATGTTTAAAGTGTTTTCTGGCGAATCTATCACAACGACTCTGTTAAATTGAAAGATGGATAAATTCACCATAGTTGCTGCATATCTCACGTAAGAAAATCCAGTTCCTTTTCATCCACAATTTAAGAATACTAAAGGTGAGTTCTATCAGGTTATAATTGGGTGAATATGGTGGTAAATATCAAATAAGATGTCCTGCGCTCTCAATAATCTGACTAATGTGTTCGCGTGTATGGATCTTGACATTATCAAGAACAATAACTATTAGGAATCAGTGTATCTGGCTGAGTGCTAGTATCAATTTTGTTTCAAGCTAATCCGCAAAGTCACCAATACTATAATATCCATCTTTTATGCTAGTACAGGGAAGATAGCCCTCCAGCGTCATTACTGCGCAGATGCTTCATGTCTTGCCCTAATTTATATCTGCATCTATTTTAGCATTATCTCCAATCGGTGCATACGCGTGTTGACGCCAGCCCGTTTTCTCATTAAATATCGACTCGTCAAGAAAGACAAGATCATCCGCTGCAAATTGGCGTATATCATTAAGATAGGCACGGCAAAGAGGTTCACTCCAGTTTAACGAGATTCGCTTAAGCTGTTTTCTTGACCATTTACGGCGCTTAAATAATTGAGATATTGTTGGCACACTAACATCCACACCACGCTCATAATATAACCAGGATCTGACTTCATCTTGTTGCCACCAGCTCTCATGAAGGAGATATTCAAAAACAGCATCCTTGTGAAGGCTCAATCAAATGTTATTTGGAAGCTAATACGAGAAATCTAAGCATAGGGAGGTGTTGGTTTAACTACGGTCCGTATCACGAAGCATAGACGGTAGTAAGGCGCGAACACGAAGCGGCCTAATGAGCCTGACAATATGAAGATATCTTGATTCCTAATATTGTGACTTGTCCCCAAGAACGAGGGGGACGGGGATAGCTAGCTAGATATACGCGGCACGCACGTGCCGCGTCAGACTAACTATATCCGGTGCCAAAACGTGTAGGGTTTGATATTCACGTTCCGACAGGAGGAAAAGGAAGGAGTGTAAACATGAAGCTATCCCTGGTCCCAGATATCAGTGGCGCGCTCACGTGCCCCTTCTCGCCCAATGTTGGATATCTGATACGCTAATCCCATTCTGGACAACCTTACTAATCGGTGAATCCCCAGAAAAACACAATTGCCGATCCCAGGTTTGGCACAATATCGACAGCCCTACTTTTGGATTCAGGATTGCTATTTTGCCACTATATTGTGTATATAAAGAGGATCAAGATGCGTAGCTAGCTGTGTTTTTAGAGAGTGTGCAAATCAGAGTCAATTATTCCTCACCCAAATTGTACGCTCCTATCAGAGCCTAACCCCGTTCGGACTAGTACCAAAAGATTCCAATACCCAATGTTGGAAATGAAATCACGTGACTAGCAGGATACTGTCAGCGTGCTACACCCGTGAATCTCCCTCCGGCGCGGATCAACTATGTTCCGAGAGTCATGTGACCTCCGTAAAGGGGTCAGCACAGCTGTAGTTAGCTTAGATTACCAATAACAACAACCAGCACATTAACAGGTTATGAGCTCCTCGCATCTTCAATCTGAGCTTTATAGATGCTTTATCGTGATTACCTGGACCTGACTTACTTCCTAATTCGAATCCAGTCACAAGATGGCCATATACGACCGCACCAGTCAAGGATCGCGACAAATCAACTCAGAGAGCCACCTACAACAAACGTCAAAATGTCGGTCAAGAAGCCACCAAGACCTACGTTGGAAATCAAGAACTTCACGATCGACTGTTTCTTCGACATGTCAGGCCTCACCGTCTCACTGTCTCACCGACTGTCTGAAGGACTTCTAGGCTTAAATATAGCTCCTAGGAGTACCCAGACTCGACTCTGATTTTCGATTACAACCTCCTCTACTCTTCCAAAAAAATGTCTGCCTCTAACACCTTTACCTCTGGTGAAAAGCTCCCAATCCTCGACTACTCCAATTGGGTTGATTGGAGTGAATACTGGCAAGATCATCTTATCCTCTACGATCTATGGCAGTACATCGATCCAACATCTATAGTGATGGTGCCACCCCCTACAACTAATGTCAATCGAGATATTGCTAAAATGTTAACCGAAAACCTTACCAAAATCCGTCAACATGTGTCCCCTGAATGTCGCAAGCTCCTAGTTGGCCATACAAACCCAAGAGACCTCTGGTCCTCACTCAAGGCTGGCTGCGACCGCGGGACAACTCTCCCATTAATTGCTCAATACAAATCATTCCACAATAATAAGTGGGAGCTAAAGGATACCATTTCTACCTACACAAGTCGTTTCCGCAATATCTTTCTTTCCTTGGAAAACACCTCTTACAAAATCCATCGAGATATAGCTGTTCACATTCTTGTGGATCGACTCCCTGACTGTTACAAGACCAAAGGTCAAATGGCAAAACAATTGAACCTTCCCTTCATTGAAATAGTGACCTACCTGCTTGCCAATATCAAAGATTCCTCTTCTGAAGGTGATAACATGTCTGGCCAAGCCCTAGTAACTCGAGGCCGTTGTCCGAACCGTAGAACAAGCTCTCGGAACCTCCGTAATGGAGGCAATAACTCAAATTCAAACCGTCGTGAACGATCAAATCGAAATTCTCGGAATAAGCGACTTATCTGTAACTGGTGCAAACGAGAGGGCCATTACGAGCGTGACTGTCATATTCGACAACAGCAACTAGACTCTGGCGCTGCAAAGCTTGACAGAGGTCGTGCCTACTTAGTTCAACAGCCAAGCAGTTTGCAACCTCCGCCTCAGCCGCTACCTCTACTGGCTCCTCCACCTCCGCAGGCAAATTTCTCCTCCTCCCAGTCTCAAAGCTCTGAGTCAAACGCTTACAGTTATCCATCTCATCTTCTTCTTACAAGAGCATCCTACATCAATAGTGAGATCCAACAACAAGACTATCTCAGCTGGATACTGGACTCTGGAGCTACACAGCATTTCTGCAATAGCAAATTGGACCTTAAGGACTACAAACATTTCCTTGAACCCAGAGAGATCTACCTTGGAGATAATACTACGATCTATGCAGAGGGATCTGGTACTCAACATCTTCAAGTTGGGCCTTATATTCTAGTCCTCAACGTCTGGTTCGTACCAAAATTAGCAGAGAACCTGCTGTCCTTGCAGCTCCTTGATCGAGCTGGCTACTCTACTCTTATTGAAAATGGCATTGTCTACATACAGCAGCAAGGCGACTCAAATTCCGCATGGTTTCAACTAGCCAATTCAAAGCATGGAGATCTTTATCAAATGCATATAAGTCCTGTATCTCTAGTGAATGCCCCACGAGCTCTCCATACAAGAGAATTTAGTACACTTAGGCTATGGCATAATCGCCTAGGCCACTGAAATTTTCGATCAGTGGAAGATCTCATGAACTTATCTGTGCCGCGTTAACTATCTACATGCACAGCATACCTACAAGGTAAAATGAAGGCAGATTCGCACCCTCCTGTGCTTGAACATTGCAGCAAGTCATTCAACCGTGTGCATGCCGACCTTATCCCCTTGGACGGTATCTCCCTTGGTGGATCTAAGTATATGTTACTACTGGTCGATGATTACACTTGCTATGCATGGTGTTACTTTGCCTCAAGTAAGAATGTTCCTGCAATTACACCTCTCCTACAAGGATTTATAAACTTGGTCCTAACTCAATTCAATGCTATAATCAAGTCATGGCGAACTGATGGTGGTACCGGTGAATTCATAAATAGCATGGTTAAAGAAATAAATCGCTAATACGGAATACTTCACCAAATCTCTACATCTGGTGTCAAGCAATAGAATAGTGTACTGGAACGACAAGTTCAGACGATCAAGAATATGGAACGCTCTATGAGAGCTGGTGCTGGTGTCCTAGATGACTACCGACTACAAGCTGAGTCCCTGGCCACCTCGGTATTTCTAACTAACATCCTGCCATCCACTACTCTAGGCAATATATCCCCACACCTTCTTTTATATAAGAAGCAACCACCTCTTACAATCTTGAAGCCCTGGGGATGCCTCGTCTGGATACACCTTCGAAAGGAGCACCGCAGCTCGAGCTCTGATCCTCGCTGCAGGCCAGCCATGATGGTAGGCTATATATAAGACTCAAAGTCTATTTATAAATGTCTTGATCTTCATACTCTGCAAACAAGCAATCACTCTGAAATCAAGTTTGATGAAGACCTTTTCCCTGGTCCATGGCTCAAACGCCCTGCCAGTTTTAAACTGTCTATTGCACATAAAAGAAATCTGCCTGGTTCAGCGGTCAATACTGTACTTGGTCAGTCAGTACCGGGAGCACTTCTCAATGTATCAAGTGTACCATTTTCCTTGATGAACCCCTTCTGGCTGCAGCAATCCCAACCACCTGCAGATCCTGTGAACCCGGAAGATCCTGCAAAGCCAGTAGATCCTATGGAACTAGCAGATGTAGCCCAAAGGGCATTGGACTCCCCCCAGTCCCTGGCACTCTGAATGGATAGCCAGCCCATCTACAATCCACGAGGAAGCGTTGTATTTGGCACCTGCGTTAAAATCTATGAGCACAATACTACAAGGGAGCTTGTGGAAGCTGCTTTGATCGTGCAAGGCATGGAGTCGCTCTCCTGCCCATCCTGGCAAACAGCAGAGAGGATCCAAACAGACCACAATGGAGATCCTCTCTCCTATTTGGATGCCTTGCTCCAGGATCCGATTAGGTGGCCACCAGCAGTGCAAGAAGAACTGAAATCTCATGAAGAGAATGGAACTTGGATAGTTCAAGAGATCAGTCAGATGCCAAAAGGGTGTAAGCCAATCCCCGGCAAGTGGGTATTCAAGCGTAAACCGAGTCCTGATGAAGGCATTCGCTATAAGGTATGATTGGTAATTAAGGGATTCCTCCAACGCTTTGGAGTAGACTTCATGGAAACTTATGCCCTAACTGCCTCATTAGCTGCATTCTGACTCCTAGTGGCAATAGCTGTGCACAATGGCTGGTCCTTACGCAATCTTGATATTATCACCGCTTTTCTAAATGGCGATATAGACTCTGAAGTCTATATGGGGATACCAGAAGGCATGGATTTAGATCCAAAGAAATATGTTTTGAAACTGCGCTGGTCTCTATATGGACTTAAACAAGCTCCGCGCATCTGGTGGGATAGGATGACCTTATTCCTATTGAAAGCAGGCTTCTATCAGTGCGATGCTGAGCTAGCTATATTCATTCGCAGCCTGGATAACAAATTCCTCATACTCCTCCTATTTATCGATGACATCCTGCTAACTGGTGACCAGGATGTAATTGAGGAATTCATCAAAGAATGCTGCAATGAATTTAAAACTCAAGATATAGGAACACCTAGGCGCTTCTTAGGCATCCATATTGAACATTGGAATGGCAAAGTGATATTGCATCAGAAGGCATATATACAGCGAATTCTCGAGCGCTTCAACGCACCCATGAATCCTGTTGCAACTCTACTTGATCCCAAGCACCCACTTATTAAGGTAACTAATGCAGAAAGTCTAAACAAAACAGATGCTTTGGAATACCGTGCTGCAGTGGGAGCGCTAATCTATCTCATGATTTGTACAAGACCTGATCTTATATTTGCACTTTCTTGCCTCTCCAAATTTGTGCAGAAACTAGGTATAAAGTATGCCGCAGCGCTCAAGCGTGTACTTAGGTATCTGGCTGGCACCCAGAACCTGGGCATCGCCTACTGCAAATTATACTCCAATGACTCAGTCTTATATAGCTACAGCGACTCTGACTTTGCCGCTGATTTGAATAACTAACGTTCAACTTCTAGTTTCATATTCCTTTTGAATGGCGGCCTAATATCATGGAAATCAAAACAGCAATCCTTAGTTACCAGCTCAACTCATGATGCTGAGTATGTTAGACTGGCAACTACATCATATGAGGTTATCTGGCTTTGGAAACTCATTCTTGCTATCCTGTCTCAGTATGTAGAACATACAATGCCTTCTAACATAATTTATTGTGATAACCAAGGCGCCATTGCAACTGCAAATCAACCTAGTCACTCGCCCTCTACTAGGTCAAAACATATCGATATCTGTTTCCACGTTATACGTGAGGCTATTGCAAATGGCCTTATTCGTCTGGAGTATATTTGTACAACAGAAATGACGGCCGATATATTGACGAAAGCACTACCGAAGGAATTGCATAAACGTCATGTAAAAGGGATGGGAATGAAATCGATATGATATGTACCTGAACTGGCCTGGTTTCCTCCATAATTTTTCATCCCACAGGGTTTTGCATGGAGGTTTTCCCCTAGGACTGCCTGTATATACTCTCTTTTTCCTTCTCTTCTTTTCTTACTCTCTCTTTCCCTTATTAAAATCACCTGTGATCTAGTGGGAGGAACCTAGCCGATCTGACGCCTTTGGTGAGATCCTGGATGAGTGGGAGTGTCAGCGTGCTACACCCGTGAATCTCCCTCCGGCGCGGATTAACTATGTTCCGAGAGTCATGTGACCTCCGTAAAGGGGTCAGCACAGCTGTAGTTAGCTTAGATTACCAATAACAACAACCAGCACATTAACAGATACAGAAGTCGAACTACGGAACGGTTCGCAAATACCTCAAAAATACCAAATTCCCTTTAAGGGCGTCCTTTTTGGTGAAATGGTATTACGTTTTAGTTCCGACACCCAACCCTGATCACGTGACCTCTGTCCAGACCTCTCAAGTCAGCAAATCTCACCATCTTCTGTATAGCCTCAGCACCAGCCGTCACATCCTCGTCTGCTTGAGATAGCTTCCTTGCTCGTCCTAGGCTTCGATAAGCAGGTTTCCGGAGGCTGCCATACCGCAAGAGGTTGCTTTGATACCAGAAGATAGTGGCTCTTGAAACGTTGCAGGCGCTTGCGATAGCTTCACATTTCCAACCCAGGCGTAAATATCGTCCAATCTGGGAAATTTTATTGCCAGACAAGGCGTTGCTCTTATTTGAAAGAGGGCGTGGGATAAGCTGGCGAGTTTGTTGACCTGCTTCAAGGGCAATGTTCTTAGTGGCAGGTCGGTTTAGCAGCTCCATGACTTGGTATATCGCGCGATTCGAATTCCCCAAATTAGAAACGAATTTGGCTTCAAATTTGACACGAGATTTTGTATAAAATTACACGTATTAGCACGTTGTTTCGCGTGAAGTTTAAAATATGTAGGAAAATGTACGTGTGTCGACATTTTTGAAGAAATCCGTGCCAAGAGTCTCAAACATTTTGAAACCGGCTGATCCGTGCGCTATAGCGTACGGAGGGTAACTACATCTCACCACCCACATCCCCCTAGTTCTTAGGATTAGTCGCAATATTAGGAATTCAGTATTACTGGCTCAGTCAGCTTGTTGGATTAGCTGTCCTTCTTAGATCTTGCGATCTAACGAAGGTAAACCAACACTAATCAGTGATATCGCAGATCAGATTTTACCTCATTATCCAACTTTCCCTGATCCGTATCCTGTCCTTGTGACCCAGGATACGCATCACTCTTCTCTCTTCAGCCACCCACAACTGAAGAACCCTTTATACCGAACCTGTGAGCTTTTCGTTAAGTCTCGCAGATTGGACACCAAACTACAAGCCAATACTACACCTTATTTTCTTGAAAATCCTCACTCTCGAAAAACCTCCCTCTTATTTTTGACACATCTTGGACCCCATGATCTCAATTTGAACCAAAAACCGACAGCCAAGATGCCAAACCCTGATCCCAACGACTTCGACCCTACAGGGAGGGATCGAAAGACACTTGACAGCTATATAGCTGGAAAGCTCAAAACCTACGCTGAGGTTTATAACACATACCTGTGGCTTGCGTTCAAACAAGACTTTGAAAAATGGACTGCGAATAAGCTCAAGAATGCCTCTTTTATAAAGCTTGGTGAACTGGTCAATATACTTCGAACTAATGGAGTCTTTGTTGATATTACTCATGGTGTCTCACCAGCCGACAGTCTTGAAGCTGTACTTAAGGAAGAAAACTGTCATGTGTGGACAGAAGAGGAAGTCATTTATTATACTAAGTGTGGCCAAGAATTCAAATCACTAGATATAAATGATGAATTTGGTGAAATAATTTCTTTATATAAGAAACCTTCAAATCACAGCATCATCAGGACATGTGATTACACAACATAATCTAGAAAGATACCACAAATAGCACCTCCAACCTCCATAGGAACTATAGGAATAATAATGAGATCTCGAAGCTATCAATAACTTCATACACTAGCACTAACAGAGTTTACTTTAATACCAACTACACCAGAAACAAAGGCTCAGATGGCAGCAGAAGCAGGACCTCCAGATCAAGATCAACATGACGTGGATTGTACCTTATTTGCACTGTCACAACAATCTGTTTCTCACGCACTAATATAACTCACAAAGATGTATACGGATAGCACCAAGTACAGTGGGAATGAAGACTCCTTCAGATTAAAGATTTGAATCTTCCATGATTACTATCAACGTGTATTCTTACTAAAAATATCATACGCATACAAACTTGCCTTCCCAACAATGCTCAAAGGGCAAGCCTTAGACTATTACTATATATATAAGGAAATCTGGGACGAAACAAATCGTGACCCTGTTGACGGGATTGTTGAATACTTTGAAGGGTCTGAATTTCAAAGCGAGATACAGATTAAATGGAATTAAACTACACTATAGAGTATAATTGACAAGAACCTGGATAAACCACTTACCAAGTGTCTTGAGTTGATGCTAAGGACATTCCAACATTTGTACGATTGTCTCCCTAGAGATCTACGAAATGGGATATATTATAAAAACGCACTTTACCGGGCAACCTACACGTATCCGGCATGTCAATTTACAACTGCAAAAATAGCACCTACAGTTGCCACCTTCGTCTCAGATTTACGCTCAAATGTCAGATAGTATAAAGATTTAACACTACAAAATTACACTACACCCCTTAACACTAATCAACTCTTCATGGACTGACGTTACCACAACCTATAGTCTTATTCACCATATCGAAATTACTCACCATGCCAACAATCTTTTTTAAAAGGCTAAAAACAATGCTTTGTATGTAAAAAGCCTAGATATTGATCCACTTGTTATACATTAGAGGAGAGAGACAATTCAAAACGCCAAATCATAAATAGTTATAAGAAACACATTGAATAGTTAATCCTAGAATATGAAGGTACCAAGGATGACGATGAAGAACTATTAGAGGAATTCATATCTACTATAGATAAGCTTATTTTAACAGACAATTACAAATTTAAATCTCACACCTAAGATGCATTGTCTACCCTATTTACAACTATGTTTTTCACTACAAATAATAACAACAATATGGACTATGGCCCGTCAATCACTATAGAACTAGCAAACCATTTAACTTCACACCGAATTGCCTTATTATTCTTAAAGACCAATTTGACTGTTGATAAATATAAAATCTATGAAGTAACTGATGAGACCTTGAACCCCAAATTGAGCCATGTATATCTCAATGAGAGCTGCTATTCCTTGGAAAACTTTAAAGGCATAGTGATTGATATTGGTGCTGCAAAAGCCTCTACAGCTGGATATGGCCAAAATCTCGCGTACAAGAATACCGTCAAAGGCGTTGATCTTGATATAATAACAGCAGGAACAGTGGTAGTCTAGTTTAGTAAAGGCGATCCCTGCTACTCACTAGGATCAATTAATATATAAATACCTATTAGTGTCATACAATTCCATGTGCTTGAAGTAATGACACCATTCCTAATGTTCTTATTGGAATTAGATAGGCTAAAAGTTTATTTTGATAACACCTCCAATCTTCTTGTTAATAAGGAGACTGGAGAAATAACACCAGTTATTTATCAGTTTGGTCACCTATTCCTTATATGGAAATATACATATTATAACCATTTGATTACATTCTTTGACAATAACCCATGCCTTCTTACTGATATTGAACTAAGGCGCTTGCACCGCCGATTTAGGCACCCCTTAACCAAGAAACTGCAAAAAGTGCTCATACGTGCAGGCCATGAGGCAGATAAGGAAGCACTTGAGCATATCCGCAAGTTTTGCTGTCATTGCCAAATGCATGGCAAGTCACCTGGTCAATTCCAATTTACACTGCATGAAGACATTAACTTTAACCACTCTATTATTATTGACATTATGTACAAGGATAGAAAACCTATTTTATATGCCATTGATGAAGCAACACATTTTAATGCTGCTGCTTAGCTCCTAAATATCTTAGCAAGAACTGTGTGGGATATGCTTTGGAAGATTTAGATTGATATGTATTTAGAACTACTAGACTTCATAGTCATGGACACTGGAATAAACTTTGTAAGCAGGGAATTCTCTCAATCTACTTTCTCCTTGGGTACAGTTGTGAAAACAGTACCAATTGAAGCACATTAGTTAATAGGAACTGTTAAACGATACCATACTATAATCCGTCATACTTATAAGATCATCGAAAAAGAATTACCAGACCTGCCTAGGGATGCAGCATTATAAATAGTTATTAAAGCCATCAATGATATAGCCAGCCCAGATGGATTAGTTCCTACCCTTCTTGTTTTTGGTGTTTATCCACGAATGACTGAATATGATCTCCCTGCACCCTTAATTACTTAACGCGCTGCTACACTAAGGAAAGCGATGGCAGAGGTATATAAATTCCATGCTGAATGATAACTAAGAGATGCACTCAATACCTGTAATAGTCCCTCATCAATAGCTGTGCAACTCTTACTGATAAATTTAAATATAATTGTATGGCGTGAAGGAAAAACAGGCTATGCAGGAGAATGGACTGGCTTATATAAATTAATAAGTATTGATAGAGAGACATGCACAATTTAATTTCTAGATAAACTAAAGTAATGCCGAACAACCTAGGTTAAACCATTTTACAAAGAGCTACAAGAGGAAGTTGATCAGAGAGATGATTCTATGCATGATAATAAAAGGCCTGAACTGTCTATAACTATAAATTTGATATCACCAGAAACTTCGCCTCATATTGAAGGAATACAGTTAGGCACATCTATATCCCAACCGGAGCCTGTACAACGCCCTCAGCGAAATCGACAATTACTGGTTCGGTATTGAGATAACATTTTACACTCGATATTTGCCCAATTTGACCAGTCGAGGGAAAAGGAGATCAACGGTCTATTAGAAAATGGTGTATTCGAAGCTGCCAGGATGGAAGACGTGCCAAAAGGAACCTATATCTTCAACTTGCGATTTGTCAATAAAATTAAGAATCCAGGAACTAATAAAACCTTTGAAAAATCATAACTTGTTGTACAAGTATATAATGATGAAGAAAAAGATATTGTGTTAATATAATCACTAACAATACAATGTTGCAGCCAACAACTACTTCTTTGCCTTGCAGCCTGTATAGCTAGCACAATTCTATTCATATGAGATGTTATGCAGGTGTACGTACAGTCAAATACACATCTAATCCGTAATTTCTACATTTATCCACCTCCTAAACTTGTGTTGGATTGGTCGGTTTATTCCAGGCCAATTCTGAAGAGTGTTTTACTAGGATCAAAGAAAAGAAGTGACTAGCAAGATTGTATGTATTGAGTTCTGTGTCTGTCTTTCAAGTCTTTAAAGCCGGGTCCTTTATAGACACCTTTGGCAGGGTGATTTGTGAGCTGTCAGGAGGGGTAAATATTGGGCGGAAATCTAGGTGCCCAGATATATGCCTAAAGGTGCCTTTTAGACCTGTAAGATTGAACAGTCGATCTTTCTGCCTCGTTTGAAAGCCGGATTATCTGACAACTATGTATGCCAGTTACTTTCATTCTATTAGACACACACAATACAATACTTTTACACACACACGCCTTTCGATTGGGCCGGCAAGACCAGTAAATATTATAACAGCGCCTCCAGACGCTCTATTGCTACCTGTTTTCTCTTTTTCTTCTGCTTCGTGTCGCAGGCTGCGCGCCTCGGACGCGCTAAAACGCGTCCCGCAAAGCAATGGCACGGAATCGCTCTGAGCCTGATAACAGGCTTTTACAAACAGCTCTATAAGAACCAACCACCACAGCTACTAACAGAGCAGCTGAGGGCTAGAAAATCTTCAGCCCAATAGCCATCTTTTCGATAAACACTGCAACCAGCATACTGGCCTCAACCCACACCAGCAGAAAGCCCTCGCTGCACTCAGCAATGACTTAGCTGTCGTAGCCCAATGCCACTTCAATGTCTATATCAGTGGCATCACCCCTACTCTCTCTCCCTCTACCCCGTCTCTAGCCCTTAATCCTACCCCTGTCCCTTTTCCCTCTTCACCCCCTCCCTCATGTCCCCCCTCTGGTCTTGCTCAGTCCTCATACGCAACAGCCACCAAGGCTAGCCCCGCAAAGCCAGGTACTAGTGCATATCAAACAAAATCACCAAATAAAAAGCTCACACCTAATGCCAAATAATCTCTCCCCAATTACTGCCTCTTCGTGCGCCTCCCAGTTAACCACACTGCAAAAAAGATGGACTCTTACACTATTTTCTCTAGTCTCTAATCCCAGCTGGGTACTAGTAGCAACACCCTGAAAGAAGTGCAAGCTATAAAAACTGGTTTCACCCTTGTTCCTACATCTCCAGAAGCCCTCCCAACCCTTAAGGCTCAGAAAGAAGTCATATCTGCCTACTTCAGTAACTACCAAATTGAACAGAGCTCTTAATGGATTTTATATAGAGTTTATAAATAATTGAATGTAGGTATACGTAGTTGTCTAAGCAGTACGAGAGTTGGTGGATTCATGTTACGGGCTAGTCCCGCCTAATGCTCACTATAAGGGCATAATCGAATAGAAAACATAACATGTGACAGCTTGACGTACGGCAAAGGGTTGATACGGCACCTGACAGGACGTTCGACGGAGCTTACCGGCCTAGGGCTGGGACCCTAGGCGGTACTGCTCTGGGAATAATCTCAGCAGTGCCGGGTTGGGAAGAGGGTACTGTAATAGGTGGTTGGGGAACCTCATTCTTATGTGTGACAGTATGCATGGATTCCAAGGTCGGAGTCCGAGTATGGTGGCAGGTATGACAGGTCAGATAGAGCCGGCTTGAGATAGATCAAGTCGGTGGACTGCTGACAGGAAATTTGACCTGTCTACTTAGTTGAGGTGATTTGTCACAGCGACCCTGTTGTGCTGTTACAGGTGCGCACAAAGGGGTATATAAAGGGCCTCTAGCGAGGTGGATTTCTGCTTCTTCTTTTCCCCTTCTTTCCCATGCTTATTATTTTCGTGTATGAGCACCTCGTGTATGTCTCCTTAGCTAGATCAATACATTGAGCTTGGCCGTTGTCACAAACATGAGGAAAGGAAAGAGAAGGAGAACAACAAGTTCTTCACACGCATACAGTCTTATATGATCAAGGGGAATCAGGAGCTTCCGAGGGCTTCTCTCTGGGAATCTGGGTTTGCCGGATCAGCTCATAACAACAGGCAATACGGCAGCCAATACGGCAGGCAATATGACAAGCAATATCCGTGAGGGCTTCGCCCGAACATGCTCATGAGGTCAGCTCATAACAATTCAGCATTGCACGACTTTCGACCGGAAACTCCGTTCCCCGGCCCCGCCTACAGAGAAATCCGTTAGGCTATAGGGTTTACTCGAAAGAATCTTCCCTTCAGTCTTGTCCCCACACGACGTGTACCTATGAGATCATGCAATACCGTTTAGACTGTCTTGAACATTATCGCGAAGAACATATTAGCATGCTAGCTAAACCCAGTAAAATCGCTCAATAGAGAATCCCACTGGATGTCATTAATAGGGAACATATCGTCCAGATCTCCATAGATAGACGGCCAGACTTGTGTCATAGTAACCTCATTAGCATCAACTGCCATCATGGCCGTATCCGGCCTTGCGTCTTGAGACGGCGGCGCATTTCCAACAATTACCCTAATCTGATATGGATAACAGCGTGCCAGCAGCCTCATCTTAGAGCAAATACTCCCCACAATATCCGCCTCTTTGTCTGCAGCAGACATTCCCTCAAATTTCGTCTCCAGCGCGTTGGCTAGCTCCGTGACAAGATTAGGATACTCTGCTACATCAACGACGGCCTGCACCTGGGCTTCCATGGTAGAGTCGGCGGAGCCGGTACTAATGAGATTGAGAAGGGTCGATACTGCTTTGGGCATGTAGCCTATCGCGGCACATAGACGAGCACTTGTCGTTATTGTCATATGATTCATCTCCGGCTCGGGTAGGTTCTTGATCATGTACATGAGCTCTTTGCTTCGTTGGATTATACCCATCAGCATGGTTGTTCGGACTGCGCTGGTAAGCTCTGAAATCCATAGTTCATCTCGGAGAGATAATTCCTCGAGCCTCATTTCCGCATATTTCATTTCGATGCGCATTGCATTATCTGCAACGGTCAGTCAATACCCAATCAAATACTTGAGATATAAAGTATACCTGTTGATGGAGGGCAGTTTGAGAGATCTTTTTCTACGTATACCCTCATGCTATCGAATTGCCGCTGCAGAGAGCCGCGCGTAACTTGGACGAGAGCCCTTCCACCGCTTGCATGTATCGAAGCGTATACTTGATCCATTGTGGTCAAGAATGACTGTAGGTGGATGAATGACGTGATGCACCGATCAGACAGATGCCCGATAGATCCTAGAGTCGCAACGCAGTCATCGATTCTAGCATCATGTTTCATGATAGAAGGCCGGCCAAGTGAGCCAGAAAGACTAGAACACATTTAGCCGAAACCACATCTACCAGCGTAGATGAACTCACCCATTTGATAGCCAATACATACCGAGCAACGCTCGCTGCTCGTCCGGATTTAGACCAGGTTTCCTGTGCAATCTCAAATCATATAAAATAGAAACACAAAACTCAATCAACAACAAAAGTCGCGGATGATATCTTTCTGCAGGATACGAGTACCATGCACTGTGAACCAACAGACCACGGAGTAATTCGAGATTCCTCTCAGACCGTGCCACAACTCTCAAAGTAACGTGCTTCATGATCTCCTCGGCGACGGTTTTGCGCAGAGGGTGTGCAGTACTCATGGCCGCGCCCACGACGCACAAAAAGAGAAAAGGTTCTCGGGCCCTAAGGCGAGCGGCTGTCTCGCCAGATGCAAGCAATACAAATGGAAATCTGTACACAAAGTCCAACCGATAGGTCGTCACCAAGCGTTCAGCTTCGGCTTCACTCATAAGTCCTCGATCAACGATAGACGGCTGGCCCTCAAAGACAGAGCTGGTCGGCGGATTGATGCCATGGGACGGATCTTTCGCAGCATCTAGCAGCGCAGCAATATCGGTTGAGTCCGCCTCATAATCACGAGATAAGTGCAAGTCGTTGTTGGTGAGTGGAGTAAAAGTATCGGGCAATGTCTGTCCGTTCTGTCGGGCCAAGACAGCCAGCTGCGACGTCAACTGTTCGACCTTTTTCTCCAGCAACCCCACACGGCTGTATCCATAGTTAATCCCAAAAGTACTACATCTGTTCGGGAGGATTACCTTGGTGAAGTTCTGTACTTCCGCTTGGTCTGCGAAATGTCAAGGTATGTGCATGACTTGCCCAAGCGAGCGCACCGCTGGCACATATTGACTGAATGCGGCGTGCACTTCGCCTTGGCAGTCGTGCATGCCATGCATGCTCTTCTCTTGACTGAAGGTACCGTGGGTTCCATGTTGTCGCATAAGGAGGAGGGGACATGGGAGAAACGGAGCGGCCGGTTGACGTGGATTTGCTGAGAAGGCGGATCGGGAAGAGCGGATTTTCCGGTCGGAACGGTTTGTAATCCGCCATTCTACTTCATTATTAATTCAACTTCAACATTTGTGCTCGCCAAATATTTATATAAAAAGGTAAATCGAAGAGATTCAAAATGGCATCAGCAACAGATCAATACAATCATCCCTGTGTGAAAAAAGAATGTCTTCGTACGCCATCACCGGAGCCTCCAAAGGCATAGGCCTCGAGTTCGTTCGCCAACTCGCCGTCGATACATCCAACACAGTCCTGGCTATAGTGCGAAACCCCAAAGCGGCCGAAATATCTCAGCTCGCCTCCAAATATCCCAACGTGCACGTCGTCAAAGGCGATGTTACAGACCCAAAGTCCATTCTCGAAGCCGCCTCGACCGCAGCTACCATCACAGGCGGAAAGCTAGACGTGTTCATCCACAACTCCAACGCCAGTGACTCGACTACCGCAGCTCTCAATCCGAGTCAAATCCCATTTGATTCTGAGGCAGTTCGGGCAATATTCGAACCGTCGTTCAGTACGGCCATCTACGGCGGTCTATGGGCGACAAACGCCTTCATACCCCTGATTGAGAAGGGTAGCCAGAAGAAGATTGTGCACATCTCCACCGCCATGGGGGATACGGATTTCATCAATAAGACTGGCGTCAGCTATGCTGTCGCGTACTCTGTCGCAAAAGCCGGGATGAATATCCAGGTCGCCAAGTATGCAGCAGAGCTTGCGCCGAAGGGGATCAAAGTGTTAGCTTTGAGCCCTGGATGGGTGAATACGTGGGAGGGTAAGTGGCCTTTTCCATATCTGACTGCACCAATGGGTCGATGCTAATATCATCGCAGGAGAAAAACCGGCTGAGGTGGTACAAGGGGAAGAGTACATGCTGAAGCAGTTTCAGGTAGTCGACCCTGAACTCAAGGGGCAGATTCTGCCTGAGGAGAGTGTTAGAAAGTGTCTCGAGGTGATTGGGCGTCTGGATGAGAAGAGGAGCGGCTTGCTCCTGAGCCATCATGGAGATAGGGAGAGGTGGACTTAGTGGTTGTGTAATAGGAGGTTGGACAGAAGCGTTCGGTACTTTCAGATCTTCATTAACAATGGTACTATTGCTAACATACAGAGACTGAAGCTTGAGAAGAGAAAGTAATCTATCTACAGGGGACCTCATTCTTATGTGTAACAGTATGCATGGACTCCAAGGTCGGAGTCCCAATATGGTGGCAGGTATGACAGGTCAGATAGAGCCGGCTTGAGATAGATCAAGTTGGTGGACTGCTGACAGGAAATTTGACCTGTTTACTTAGTTGATGTGATTTGTCACAGCGACCCTGTTGTGCTGTTACAGGTTGTGACTGACGAGTTGGATCGGGGCTGTCAACTTACATAGCCCTAAGCCCTAACTTGAGTGGATATTGATACTACAGATTTTTATTGATATGTAAAATTCATTCTACCATAGTAGATTAGTAGATATCCCTAGATTCATATATATATATATATATAAAAACTTCACTCGGGAACATAACGATCCGGAGATTGTCGTGAATGCCGTAGGGTATATTGGCGACTGGGAGTTGAATTCTCAATATCTTGTTGAGATTTTTCTGCAGCAACCCTTGGTTGGCTAGTTCTCGGTTTCCTGCGACCTTTAGCCTGACGCTTATGCCGCTTACCCTTTAAAGCCGTACAGTATCGTACTTGGAGAGCGCTTTTCGTTCTCCCACGAAAATGTGCCGCAATACGTGACCATGGAAGCTTTTCGACCTCTTTGACTACCTAAAGGCCCTAATCCGCAGTCTCCGCAACCTCCGTAGTGCTTACAAGGGCCTGCTCAGTGCTCAGTACTGACCACTAAGTGCGGCTAGTCGACAATTGACAAGATTTCGTCATCGTACTTACTTAAACGATGAGGCGATAAATGATATCGGTGACTGGGGCCCTGGGTACCTTCACAATAAACAGCGACAGCCAGTCCAGTCCATTGCGATGCCTATCAAAGGTCACCGGTAATGACGGGCAGTTCGTAGACACCCTCGCGTTCAGGAAGAGGAACTGGAGCCTCTCTTTCAATTTCATCTTCGCCGCGCAGCCACCAGAGCAGCCTAAAATCAATCTTGCCCCATCCTGGCCAATGCTCATTTCTAAAGGACCTTTCATAAACCGTGACAACTTTCACAAATCCAATGTATTCATATGTTCCCCATTTCATTTTCATCCCTTTCGCAGGCTCCGGAGCGTTCAGGATGGATTGAAAGACCTCATCATCAATCAAAAGACAGTACGAACCATTGACCTCACCCCAAAGAGCCTCATCGCCTAGTTCCTCTGCTAGCTCAGCTTGCTTTTGGCAATACAGGTCTTGTTTCCGATCCTCCGTGGCGGCGTCGTCGTCGGATTTGATTTCATCATCGCCCATTTCTGGAATGAGCATTTCTCGTCTGAAATCTTTCCGAATCTCATCGATGGACGCATTGTTGAATTTTTCCCGATCCCAGACCACAATATTCGATAGTTCGTCTCGATAACCTGGGTCTTTACAGCTGAGCTCCATGTATGATTCCAGTTTCTCGAGCACAGAGGACCATAGCTCATCCGACTGAGGGGTATACACAGTCCGGTAGATTGCGAAACCCCACTGTGAAAACATGCGGTCAGTTTATAGACTGTAATAGAAGGCCATCAAGTCTCTCTATTTCTATCGCTCACCTGATATGGATTGACAGACTTGTCCATTTCTCTGCCTTAGAGGGATTATGGTGGAGGAGATCGATAGTAAAGATGGATAGTTGAAAAGGACGTCTGGCTGGGTATTTAAGTATGGTGACATTGTCCCAGCCACGACAAGTCCACTTTACGTGTCCATTATGAGGAATGTCCAGAGAAAGACTACTCACCACATGGGCCAATTCCAATCGGATATTGTAGGTGTTAGATTGTATGTAACAATCTCTAGCGGTTTATCTCAACGTATCAAATTATGTATGCACAAGATGTGTGAATCCTTGATCCTTGTTGTTCTTGTTCTTGTGTCTCAGTACAGTCAAGGTGGAAGATATCTTTTACCCCCTATTCGGTGGATCAGCGTGTGGCTCGCTATTATTGGCTGACAAATCTCCTCTATCTGATTGGTTGAATCAGCTTAGCTAATCCAACAGTAGGAATAGCATATTCCCAAAGTATTCAATATGGGAGGAGATAAAATGGGGATAAAAGGAAGCGAGTTAGAGGCGGCAGCTGTAGTTAGCCTAGCTTGGTTAGCTCGGCTTTGTTTACCTACACCTAGGTAGCTGAGCTCCTTTGGAGACTTGAAAAAAAAACAACTGAATACAACATCCTCGAACCTACACTTTACCTGTGTGCACACCCCTGTGATACCAACAGATATAATGAGTAGTCCTCCACTCATCAATTTACTTCCCCAGTACGGCTTATAACTTATGTATAATTATATAGGGAGGTACCATGCGATATCTTTACTTCTGCAAAGCCCAAACACCAGATATGGACTCTGTGTCAGTCCTAGACACCGAGGTAAGAGGATGCTCTCAACAGTAACTCGGCATATTATTCCCATTGTGACGGCCTTGCGAACTGCCCCTAGTCTTATGATCTGCCTTTGTGATGTATCATATCAATAGTCTCGGAGCCGTGCACGTCGGATCGACATAGTTGTCGGATTAGTCGGTTTATTCCAGGCCAATCCTGAAAGTGTTTTACTAGGATCAAAGAAAAGAAGTGACTGGCAAGATTGTGTGTATATTGAGTTCTGTCTCTCTCTATCCATCAGGTTTCAAAGCCGGGTCCTTTATAGACACTTTTTGGCGGGGTAATTTGTGAGTCATCAAGAGGGGTAAATTTTGGGGGCTATAAGATAGGGCTTCTGATTGTTCACTTCCTTTTACTGCCTCCGGATATCCGAATTATCTAACAGAAGTCATCTGGAATATGATATTAGTATATCCATCTTGTGCCTTGATTAATCACTTACTTTATGTGGGTGCATCTGCACTAGTACTTGTAACAACCAGCAGGCTTTAGGGTCTAACTATTCCAAGAAATGCGCCCAATACGTCTCAAGTTGAGTTTCAGCTACACCAGGTGAAGGCTTATATGTTCGAGGATGGTTTCAGCTCCCTCGGACTGCACCTTGACTACTGGAGCTATTCAGAGAAGGGAGATCTGGTACACATTGTATATCTATAAATGTTGGTTTAGCTATACTCCGTATCACTAAGCATAGAGTAGGGAGCAAGGGCGGTCCAACTGCCCTAGGTGGTGAGCCTGCTTATAAGCACAAATATCTGATATTATAATGACTGACTAAACGAAAGGAGGGGGTAGCGGGGGTGCCGTAGTGGCTATATAGAAGGTTGCTGCGTACGCGCTAGGGATATAGTAAATTAGTAATCCCGCTTCCATATATATGCGTTGGTTCTGCATCCAGGGTGTATCCTGTGGCTGTCTTTTGGCCATCACTTGTATAATCTAGAAGGTTGTACTGGACTGGTATGTCAACCTCTGCAAGGTACGCCTCAAGCTGGATATTATAGTCCTTTGGTGTGCCTTCGTGCTCCAATATAAACTTGTCAAAAGCGGTGTTATATTGGGCTCTCGCTGTGGCTTGTTCCTCGTCCGTATGATTAGTTGACCAGCAATTAGGCTTCTTACATATAAAGCATGTTTTTGAAGCTTCATTCTAGCAGTGTGGTGAGCAGCTAGGGTGACATGAGTAGCTGCGTCCTTGGGAGTGTCTTCATCTATATGGTAAACAATCTTAATGCGGTGAACGTGACAGTTAATGCATATTGTAGTGTTAGTCTATAAAGTTGATACCATGGGCGCTATTTTATTGTTATTATTTATACTGCCTTATACTTGACTGGAGATCTTGGATCAGGCCTGGCACCATAGGTGTGGGTTTTGACGTGGCCCAATCGCACCCTAGGTGCGTACTTATCGCTTTAATTAGCTTTATATGCTAGTACGTCTAGTTTTAAAGCTCGTCTGGTAGGCAGTAAAATAGATCCTGTAGCTCTATAATTATAAGATTAAGGCATTCCAATATTGATTTCCCTGGATTGCTGCGAATTATATTATTAAGTGATATAGCAGACCATTCGCTTTAGGCAGTTCGCTTGTGTTTGGGTGTCTTAAAACAAGCTTCAATCTTAAGCGCTGGGTCCTTGCTTTGTGTGATCCACGTGTCAATATTATCCCAGTAGTACGCTAATACTAGGTCCTTGAGTATGTGCAGCATTGCTTCTCTATATGACTTGGGGGTAGCAGGTAGTCCACTTTGATGGCAGTAACTATAGAAAATTCTTGCCTTTCTCTAGAATGAATCTTTGAGGCCTTTATACCATAGTTTGGGTGTATTAGCATAGTACTTGCCAACATTCGCAATTGCCTGAGTAATCATATATTGCGATGGTTGCTGTACAGTCAATGCAGTATATATTTCTTGTTCCTGTGGTTCTGGGATGCCTTGTTATTGTGTTATAGGTCCTCCAGTCGTATATGATGTGGGTGCTGGTGTAAAAGGGGTTCTGGATCTGGTTACCTGGTATGGTGTCCCTAGGTCTGCGTTCGCGTTGAGCGCCGGGTCTAGGGTGGATCTTGATCTTGTTATTTATCCTGTATAGGTTCTAGGTTACGGCGTAGGAGTATCTGGGTCTATATGTACATGAGTCTTAGGTTTGGGGACTGTTGTAGTAGTTCCTTGCAGTAGGGAATTAATAGCGATTGTAGCTGCAAATCTGGTTTTGATATCTAGAGATCTAAAGCTCCTGCCCTTTTAAAGATATGTAATAACTGTTGGATGCGAGGATGCAGTCGAGATCTGGATAACTGACATCACGTGATTTCAATCACGTGATGAAGGCTACACCAGGAATCCCTTACGCGTCGGGGTCAAAGATAGAAAAGACAGACAACTTAAGACTACCCAATTGAACCCATATTCCATGTTAGGAAGCCTATCGTACTAGTACTAGTGCAGATGCACCCACACTGATCAGTCTTGGTTGCAGAACTAAGACAGATTGGCAAGGTATCAGACCCCTGCGCTGTAGCCACCTGTGGTTATAGGTAGTAAGGCCTGACTCCAGGATTTGTGTTGTCTCATCGCGAGGAACTGAATCCACATGGAAGAGATGGACTTTGCAGCGTTACCTGTGACAAACTAAGTCTGTGCTAAAAGCCTCTCTCCTCTCAGAGCGAGACCCAGAGAGACTGTATTTGGGACAGTTCGTCAAAACGCCGACATTCCATAATACCGCCCTATCGCGAGACCACGCTGTTGACGCATTCGAAAGTTAACAACACCAAACTAACAAGAAGAGACACCCTGTTGGTCAGTTCTTTGAAATCAACAAGCACCAATGTCTCATCCAAATCATCAAGACCAAGAAAATCTAGATGAGAATCAGTCACTTAACAGTTATCAGACTAGCCCCGCTATAGAGCTGCTAGACGACAAATTCATAACAGAGATTGGATTTAATAATTAAGCTGGTAAAGATTGAGTCAACATGGCGAATTGGCTCTACGACGCTGTGCCCGGTGACGATGAGAAGAAGTTATCCACGTATACAATTCAGGTCATGTATGAGGCTGCAAGTGGCCTCCAGGTCGACTTTGAGATGTTCCAATGGTTCCATAACTTCTTTGAGGATTAGAAGATTGAGGACTTCAACTGTCTAGATAAGACAACAAGAACCAAGTTGAAGGACTTCCTTTTATGGCGTGGCGTGTACGTTGACCACACGAATAGGAAGACCATCCCAATGGCGTTGATAGAATTATTGGAGATGGAAGACCCTCTTGAATGGCCTGAGAAGGCTCTATAAAAGAGGACTTTCCACCCTCAGTCAAAGATAGCCTCACAACATCATGAACAGACAGCAACCACCTATATCAAGGAGTCAAGGATTGTCAATGATACCCACATGGTGCCATCTATTGAAGAAGAAGACGAGGGTATTTATAAAGAAACACCTTCTAAGGTGCCAAATTAGGTAATTCAAGACCATGTTCAATCGCCATTAAGATCAGTACAAGACATCTCAAGATTTACACCTAAAATAGGTGCAAATGCAATACCAGTCATGACACCAAGTCACAGCCAAGTCAAGATATCCGCGATACCTACCTCTTCAGTGCCACTCTAAGCAAGATCATTAGATCCGTACACTAAGGTGCCACCCAACGAATATGGATGTCAACCTGTTGATTCTCAGTTGGCTATGAAGTTCACCAAAGCATGGGATAAGATAAAGAATTATTCAGGAGAGCTTTACGATATCCTAGATGATAAAGTTCGAATCTTCTTACAACTATGCTGGTTAACAGAAATCCAGTTGAGTTAATGCTGGGCCATCTTTCCCGAGATGCTTTCTGGCAGAGCAGAAACTTATTACATGCACTACGTCAATTCTAATGCATCATTTGCACAGATGTATTGGGCAATAAAGAGCTACTTTAACACAGAGTCAAATCACGCTCTCTACTACCAGGATTGGACGTTGATCACCCTGGTCGACGTGCGTCGTGAGAACACAGGGAAGACACTGCCAGAAGCAGTAGAAATCTTAGTAGAAAAACTACATCTATGCTAACGTGCGTTGGGACTGCATTATATGTCCCCTAAACATCTTGTATCAGCCATCATAAGGGCATGTCAAGAATCGCCAGAAATAAGCGAGGTCCTCAGTGAACCAATGACGAAGTTTAAAACACTAGTATCACAACTTCGTGTAAGGGCTGCTATTATGCAAAAGAAGGAAGCAGCTGGTCAATATCTTGCTGAATCTAATAACATGCCATTAACGCACTTCACCGACAGGAAGTATGTTGGAAAGACCAGTCGAGGGAATTGCCCGTCACCTTAGAGATCATGGCGACGCTAAAACCATCAAGATAATGGCTCTCGACAACAACGTGACGGCCAATGTTAGATATGTAATAAACCAGATTGTCGATCTTACAACCACTCAGAGAAGGAACAAAGTAAGGCGAGGGAGCGATTTGACAGGTATCACTATGCTGAGGGCAAAGCCAATGCCTCGGACAAGACATATCGCGCGTTTCTAATGGACTTCGAAGCCAGTTATAATATCACGTCAGACAGCGAGGACGAGGAAGAAGCTGAAGATAATAACGAGGATGAAGCAACAGTGTACTTTATGGTTGGACAACTACAAGATCAGGCGTTCTTACACTAGATAATGGGCGAGGAGACTGAGCAAGATAACCCCCCTACCATTGCTTCTCAATTCATGATAGACCGACATAATAGTGAGATTTTCCATAGAATCTTACCTGACACAGGAGCAGCGAGAGTATCGACAGTTAGAAGACGTCAACTCACCACTTTACAAAAGATCTATCCAGGGATCATGGTCGACAAATCTCGTGCAGGAGAGCACTCAATTCGATTTGGTCAAGGGGATAGCGTTGACTCTGAGGGAGCTATTACCATAAAGACCCCAATTGGCGATGTTGATTTCCATGTTATGAATACACCAACCCCATTCTTACTTTGCATTGCTGATATAGATCGCCACGAAGCTTATCTTGATAACACCACTAACTGCTTGGTTAAGGGAGACTTGAGAGTGCCAATTGTCTGGAAATAAGGACACCCTTGGTTCTTCCTAGAAAATAATTATACACCAGTAACATTCTTAATAGAAGTGGAAGTGAGACGCCTTCATCGACAATTTGATCACCCAAGCGTTAACCGATTGCACAAACTCTTAGAGCAAGCCAGTCATGACGACGTTGACCACAAATCTCTTGCTGAGATCGAGAGGTATTGTCACCACTGCCAAATGAATCGGCAGGCCCCTCGACGATTCAAATTTATGTTGACCAACAATCAAGAATTCAACTTTGAGATCGTTGTTGATGTCATGTATCTGGATAGCGAACCGGTCCTTCACGTTGTCGACTCGGCAACGTCCTTCCAAGCCGCCAAATTCTTGAAATCTCTGTCCACTAAAGACACTTGGGAAGCAATCCATATAACATGGATTGACACCTATCTTGGTCCACCAGACGTCATCTTGCACGATGCTGGAACCAACTTTGCCGCTAATAAATTCAAAGTGGAGGCAATGATGATGGGAATTCAATGCCATCAAATGCTAGTTAAAGCACACTCTAGGATTAGAAAGGTTAAACAATATCACGCACCGCTACGCTATGCATTTAACATTATTTTAGCAGAGATAGGAAGCACTGTGAGCAAGGATGTAGTTCTATAAATAGCTGTGAAAGCCATCAATGATACGGCAGGACCAGATAGAATTGTGCCTACCATCCTAGTTTTTAGGGCATATCTACGCCTAACTTTAGATTCACCACCGTCTGCTCTGACGATTAGACGTGCCCAGGCAATGAAAAAAGTAATGGCTGAATTAAGAAAGGCAGTGGCTGAGAGGAAAGTCAATAACATGCTAAACACTAGGAACGGTCTGATAATCACAGAGACACTCAACCTCCCCCCAGGGGCCAATGTCAAAGTTTAGCGAGAAGGCAAGGGTTGGACAGGCCCATATAAACTCATCTTAGTAAATGGTCATGACGTGACAGTCAATCTTAGTAATAGTGCTGTCGCTTTCCGGGCAACGTCAGTCCAGTAGTATCTCCAAGATTAAAGAGAGACAGATGATGGAATCTATGTTCCTGAACCACCCGTGATACCTCCACCTCCACGATGTTGAGGACGACCACGAGGATCCAAGAACAAGCAAAAAGTGGATATTAACGTATACCTATCAAAGAAAGAGAAGGGCGACCTTAAACTCGCACTCAAATTGAGACGAGAAGGAAAGATTGTGACAGAAGGTGCCCCATTCGAACTTTCAAGCGTTGCAGAGATTGATGGCCTGATTGCAAACGGGACGTTCAAAATCGTCCACTGAGACGATGTGAACCTCAGAGATCTCCGTATTTTCAACTCCTGCTTGGTTAATGAGATCAAGGGGAAGAATGAGATCCCATATGAGAAATCACGCCTAGTCATCTAAGAATATAATAACGCTGGGAAAGCTGGGATCCTGACCCAAGCGCCAATAATTCAATGGGCCAGCCAGAGGCTGTTAATATCCCTTATCCCCACTTTGCTAAGTATAGATATGGTTGTGGAGATCCGTGATATCACACAAGCGTACACACAGGCTAAGACAAAGTTGCAACGTATTATCATTGTCAACCTGCCCAAAGAAATGAGGGGTAAATATCCACTAGACTCACTACTGTTGGTAGAAGGAGCTTTGTATGGCATTCCCAAAGCTAGCGTTCATTGGTTTGGCACCTACCACGAGTATTATAAGGTGAAAATAGACATGGAGACTTCTATGTATGATCCATGTCTACTCATGATAAAACTAGGCGCTAAGAGCTTTGGCCTGGTAGACATGCAGACTAATAACATACTTATCATCGCAATAGAAAAGTTTGCCAGGGATGAGGAGCGAGCACTACAGGAAGTGAGATTCAAAGCTAAACCCAAAACCCAATTGTCGCAGGATACTCCTTTGGAATTCAATGGCGTAAGGATTATTTTAGAGCAGGACAACGTCTTCATGCGGTAAAAAGGACAAGCGACAAAGATAGAGCCGGTTGGAACAATAGATCGCGCGCAGAAGTACATTGAGCAACAAGCACGAGGGGCTTACCTCGCGTCTATCTGCCAACCAGAGGCTTCTTATGATCTCGCCATCACGGCCCAGCTACAGGAGAAGGATCGATTCAAAGACGACTATTTGGCATTGAATAAACGCCTTATATGGCAAGCTGAGAATCCTGAACGAGGTCTTAGATTCATCCCCCTTGATTTGACAAAGGCAAAGATCATGATCTTTACAGATGAATCCTTCACAAATAACCAAGATTTGACTTCCCAGATTGGTTTTCTAATCGCTATGGTCAACGAAGACTTTTCTGAGGAAGGACACTTTATTGCTACTGGTAACATAATCCATTGGACTTCGTCAAAGTGCAAGCGTGTAACCCGGAGCGTTCTCGCCTTAGAGATCTATGGGTTAACAACTGGATTTGACTATGGAATTACATTGGTAAGTACCATCAAGATGATCATGGACCGCCTCAATTTACCTACAATCCCAGTTGTGGTTTACACCAATAGCTACTCGCTATATGAGTGCCTCGTTAAGTTAGGAACCACAAAGGAAAAGCGCCTCATGATCGACCTTATGGTGCTCCGTCAGTCATACGAGAAACGGGAAATAGATGAAATCCGCTGGATCCATGGAGATAATAATCCCGCGGATGCTTTCACAAAGGCGAACCTAAATGGGGCCCTATAGGACTTCATTGACAAGAATAAGTTGACGATTCATGTGGAAGGATTTGTGGAAAGGACCAAGCAGGATTAGGACAAGGTTGACGATTGTTGACAGGGAGCCTAATTATTGGGATTTGCATGCTTTTATGAGAGTTGGGAGCTCGACTGCAATTCCATTTGTAAAAGAGATCCAGTGTTGGATGCGAGGATGCAGTCGAGATCTGGATAACTGACATCACGTGATTGAAATCACGTGATGAAGGCTACACCAGGAATCCCTTACGCGTCGGGGTCAAAGATAGAAAAGACAGACAACTTAAGACTACCCAATTGAACCCATATTCCATGTTAGGAAGCCTATCGTACTAGTACTAGTGCAGATGCACCCACAATAACTTCTATTTTGGTCTATTAGTGCGGTATTTGTAACTGCACAGCGTCATATACGTTCTATGCAACTAGGTGCTCATTCATCTCGTCCACGTACACACTGTGGCTCTTAAGTAGCATGATAAGCTTCGCAAGCCGTAATACAGATACCTTTTTGAGATTATCTAAAGTCCATTTACTAAAGTCTTGTATGAACATTGCCCACAGAATGGTGTCATTTCCTTCGCGGTATTCAGTTAATTTACCATTGACGTAGGTGTCCAACTGAGTGTGGTTCTTGCCCTCTGGTTCGAAGCCATTTGGATTGGGGTTTAGGGCCATTGTCGGTTGATATATGAGGTCGTATATATTGAGGATTCGAAGTACGAGTGAACGTCTCGAAGGGTAAAGAGGTTCGGGTTTTTGGCTCAAATTAGGAGTCTGATCTGCGGCCACTGATCAGTGTTGGTTTAGCTATACTCCGTATCACTAAGCATAGAGTAGGGAGCAAGGGCGGTCCAACTGCCCTAGGTGGTGAGCCTGCTTATAAGCACAAATATCTGATATTATAATGACTGACTGTCGGTTTATCTACGTCTAGGTCGCTAGCACTAGTCACGTAGAACAGCTATTCCGACGAGCTGACGAGCCTGATCAATATGGTATGGAATTCCTGATATTGATGACTGCCCCCCAAGAGTAAGGGGTGTGTGTGTGTGTGTGTGTATATTTAACGGCCGTGGTTCGTGACTCGCACGCTTCCCACCGATCCCTACTGGGACATAGGCCGCCGAGGGGTAAGCCTCGGGTTTTGGGTCCTATCAGATTTATGTACAAATAAGAGACTCTTTGGCGCATTTCCATAGCTGCCGTGGTCTTACAGGGAGGTCCACTTTGAGTGGGTTTTAGGTATTTGCTAGCTGCAATGGTCCGCCTACACTCCATGATCTATTACTCCACCACTATTATACCTGAACAGTAAGTTTTGCAGAGAGGGAAAGAAAGAAGAGAAGAGAAAGAAAGAAGGAGAAGAGGAAGAAAGAAGGAGAAGAGAAATATAAAGGAAGAGTAGGGCTGTCTTAGCTAGGTGCTAAGGAGAGGTTGGCGAGGGCAGATATCCTCATAGAAGTGGGTCTCTGCTAGCCATGAGGCTAGCTTTTGTGCTCCTTTAGCAGTGCCTAAGAGAAAAGAGATAACCTCAGAAGAGGGCCCAGGAGGCCGAGGGGCTCGTCTCTTAGCTATATAACAGAAGAAGAAGTGCAGAGGTGCTTTTCATGCTCCACATCAGCAGAGAAGATAAGCATCATCATGATTGAAGCATTCATGGTAGTCTGCAAAGTCTCTATAACCAGTACGGGCCGCAATAACATGGCCGAGATCAAGTTAGTTGAGTTAAAGCTCCCCAGGGCGCTTAGGAGAAGTGGTTATTTCTAGATCTTAATAGCTCTGTGGTGCCACCTTCTCCCATTGTGACTGAGCAGCGGATAGGGATTGAGTCTTGGCGTATCTCTTTAGCGAGGCGTATGAGGATTTGTGAGGATCAGGAGGGATTGAGGCAGCTCCCTCTTTGGCAGCGAGATCAGCCGCTTCGTTCTCAGGGATTTTAGCGTGTCCAGGGACCCATCGGATTTAGATAGATCCGCTTTTGGTGTGAGGAAGCCTTTTGCGAAGTGGCCAGGCGGCTGCAAGGGTGCGGAAGGATTCAAAGATTTCTTGGGAAGATCCTGTAGAGGGAGATAAAAGGCGTATGGCAACTTCCAGGTTGTCAAAGCAGATCCATAGGTTGGTAGTAAATTGAGCTGTTGGGTATACTATTGCTGCTTGAGCGCTAGCTAGAGCTGCTTCTACTTCTGCGTTGAAGACCTCTTTCCCGTGTCCGTATGAGAGTGAGGAGCGGAGGAACTGATGGTGTGCTTGAAGTCCAATATAGCCACCCCCTGCACGTCCGTCTGCTAGCCTAGATCCATCTGAAAACATTATAATATCTGAGCTAGGGATAGTACGTTGAAAAGCCATGAAATTAGCCGCTGCCTGTTCCTTGGTGCGTCCCATAGGAGCTCCTATTCGAGCTTGAGCATTCCCACGAGGCTTGCGAGGGTACCAGGGAGCGTATTGGAGAGGGTTTATCTATTCAGAGTTTGGGAGGGCCAGTGTACAGCGGGCAAATCGGCTGATTTGTCGGCCATTACTAGCGATCTGTTCTGCGCGTCTTCGAAGTGGGTGATAAGGGTCGAGACGCCGTAGGCGGACAGTTGCAAGGAGGGCTATTCGATCTAGTTCGATTTCTGGTGAAGAGAATCCAGACTCTCGATAAAGGACTGGCTTTGGGGTTGTGCGGAAGACTGGAAGGACTGCTCTTGCGCCTGTTAGTATTACTTTAGTTAGTTTCTCAAGATGTTCTCCAACTCGGTTTGAAATCTGGGAAGGTCCAGGGCGAGTACGTCCTGGCCACCAGGAGACATATGTCTATGTGTGTGTGTGTGTGTGTGTGTGTGTGTGTATATTTAACGGCCGTGGTTCGTGACTCGCACGCTTCCCACCGATCCCTGCTGGGACATAGGCCGCCGAGGGGTAAGCCTCGGGTTTCGGGTCCTATCAGATTTATGTACAAATAAGAGACTCTTTGGCGCATTTCCATAGCTGCCGTGGTCTTACAGGAAGGTCCACTTTGAGTGGGTTTTAGGTATTTGCCAGCTGCAATGGTCCGCCTACACTCCATGACCTATTACTCCACCACTATTATAACTGAACAGTAAGTTTTGCAGAGAGGGAAAGAAAGAAGAGAAGAGAAAGAAAGAAAGAAGGAGGAGAAATATAAAGGAAGAGTAGGACTGTCTTAGCTAGGTGCTAAGGAGAGGTTGGCGAGGGCAGATATCCTCAAAGAAGTGGGTCTCTGCTAGCCATGTGGCTAGCTTTTGTGCTCCTTTAGCAGTGCCTAAGAGAAGAGAGATGACCTCAGAGGGGGGCCCAGGAGGCCGAGGGGCTCGTCTCTTAGCTATATGACAGAAGAAGAAGTGCAGAGGTGCTTTTCGTGCTCTACATCGGCAGAGAAGATAAGCATCATTATGGTTGAAGCGTTCATAGTAGTCTATAAAGTCTCTGTGACCAGTACAGGCCGCAATAACATGGCCAAGGTCAAGTCGGTTGAGTTAAAGCTCCCCAGGGCACTTAGGGGAAGTGGTTATTTCTAGATCTTAATAGCTCTGTGGTGCCACCTTCTCCCATTGTGACTGAGCAGCGGATAGGGATTGAGTCTTGGCGTATCTCTTTAGCAAGGCGTATGAGGATTTGTGAGGAGCAGGAGGGATTGAGGCAGCTCCCTCTTTGGCAGCGAGATCAGCCGCTTCGTTCTCAGGGATTTTGGCGTGTCCAGGGACCTATCGGATTTAGATAGATCCACTTTTGATGTGAGGAAGCCTTTTGTGAAGTAGCCAGGCAGCTACAAGGGTGCGGAAGGATTCAAAGATTTCTTAGGAAGATCCTATAGAGGGAGATAGAAGGCGTATAGCAACTTCTAGGTTGTCAAGGCAGATCCATAGGTTAGTAGCAAATTAAGCTGTTGGGTATGCTATTGCTGCTTGAGCGCCAGCTAGAGCTGCTTCTGCTTCTACGTCGAAGATCTCTTTCCCATGTCTATATAAGAGTGAGGAGCGGAGGAACTGATGGTGTGCTTGAAGTCTAATATAGCCACCCCCTGCACGTCCATCTGCTAGCCTAGATCCATCTGAAAAGATTACAATATCTGAGCTAGGGATGGTACATTGAAAAGCCATGAAATTAGCCGCTGCCTGTTCCTTAGTGCGTCCCATGGGAGCTCCTATTCGAGCTTGAGCATTCCCACAAGGCTCGCGAGGGTACCAGGGAGCGTATTGGAGAGGGTTTATCTGTTCAGAGTTTGGGAGGGCCAGTGTACGGCGGGTAAATCGGCTGATTTGTCGGCCATTACTGGCGATCTGTTCTGCGCGTCTTCGAAGTGGGTGATAAGGGTCGAGACACCGTAGGCGGACAGTTGCAAGGAGGGCTATTCAATCTAGTTCGATTTCTGGTGGAGAGAATCCAGACTCTCGATAAAGGACTGGCTTTGGGGTTGTGCGGAAGACTGGAAGGACTGCTCTTGCGCCTATTAGTATTACTTTAGTTAGTTTCTCAAGATGTTCTCCAACTCGGTTTGAAATCTGGGAAGGTCCAGGGCGAGTACGTCCTAGCCACCAGGTTTCTGCGCCATAGTATGCTTTATAGAGTACACAGGCTGATATAGCCTGCTGTAGTAAATTAGGTTTGACTCCTCGAACAGTATTCCCTAGAGAGCAAAGAGTGTTGGCCACAGTGAGGGCTTTAGATGCTGTTTCTCTAACATGCTATTTGAACGTTAACTTTTTGTTAAAGAGGATTCCTAGCTATTGTAGATATAGCTGTTTAGTGTTTTCTGATATTGTAATAGATCTAGCTTTCATAGAAGGTGTGCGGGTTGGGTCCTGGTCTGCTTTATGTTGGGAGAAGTAAAGAAGCTTGTATTTATCTAGTGTAAATGTAATGCCCTCTGCAGCGCCCCAATTAAAGGCTTCTTGAAGTAAGTCTGATAAGGCTTTGCAATTAGTAGTAAGAGAAGTTGAGATTGCCAGGTTGGCTGCGTCGTCCGCGTAACCAAATCTGTTCCTTGGGTTTCCTAGATGGAATAGAGGCGCTATGTAGAGCATGAAAAGAATGCTAGATACTAGGGATCCTTGTGGAAGACCGCAGGTAATGTCTGTTGAGGGGCCGATCTCTCCATCGAGTCGGATCTGAACTGATCTTCCAGTAGCGAAGGAGGCAATCCAGAGAACGAGATTGGTAGGCCAGCCCTGCTCGCGTAGTCTGCGGATCAGTCTGCCGGGAAGTACGGAATCAAAGGCGCCTTTGACATCTAGGGTAAGGAGTGAGGCAGTCATGTCTTGATTTAGCGCTTGTTCAACATCATGTGTTAGGCATGTGGTCAGGTCAGTTGCAGATCTTAGTAGGAGAGCCCTAAATTATTGCCTTGCTAATACTTTATGGTGTATAGAGATCCATGCCATATTCCGTGCCACTAAGTGCTCCAGTCCTTTGCTAAGTACTGATAGGAGAGCGATTGGTCTGTATAATCTAGGTGAAGACCAATCAGTCTTTTTTAGTTTCTGGATGATTGCTAAGATTGCGTGTTGAAAGCATTTAGGATGATGACTAATCTTTAGGCACCCTTGATATAGCATTAGTACCTTATCTTTGATTAGAGGCCAGGCTACTTTGAGTATGCAGGTTGGGATTTCATCTACGCCAGGGGCTGTGTTTCCTGCCTGAAGTACTGACTCCTCCACTTGTAGCATCGATATATCTGGGAAGTAGAGACTAGTGGAAGGCACTGTTGGGGAGTCCAGAGGTATGTCTCCTGCCTCTGCTGAGTTCTGGAGAAGATTGCGGACTAGTACGTCTCGTTTCTCGTGTATAGTAACTGCTGGGAGGCTGTTGGGCCTTAGCGGATCTTTTAGTAGAGGGCTTTGGAAGATGCCTGTAGACTTATACCATTTGCTCATGTCAAAAACATCCTTCATTTATGTTACCATAGAGAGCTTCTCTCACCAAAATTGTCGTTGAGACCATCTAGTTATCCTATAGAAGTCTATCTTTGAGCAGAGGCCTAAGCGGTAATTGTGTAAAGCTTTCTTGCAGTCTTTGTTCCACCATGGTTATCCTATGCCTTGTGTTATGGTTCTCTTAGCAGAGCCTCTATATGCTCCTTGAATTGCAGATGTTAGTTTTTCGGCGAAAGCATCAAGATCTTCTTCTGTCGCGGCTGAGCTCTTGGTGCCAGCAAGATTAGAGGCGAGGAGCGAAAGGAAGGAAGTGTGATCTAGTGTGTCAAATCTCAGTTTCTGAGCTGTTTCCTTGTATCTCTGATCCCATGGAACAGTGGTAATTAGTGGTTGATGATCTGAGGTTGCATCTAAGTGGCTCGCTATGCTAGCTTTGGCTCCTGCGAGTGCCAGAGGGCTTGAGGCGAAACTGAGGTCTAACACGTTACCCCTTTCATGTGTGGGACAGTCTATGTCGGAAATGAGTACTAGACCCTGGAGATCTAGCCAGTTAATAAATAGCTCTGCGAAAGGTGTGGGGCTGCGATGTAGCGAGGGCTGCCATCTATTGTGTAGTAGGTTGAGATTGCCTGCAAGTATTGTTGCTTGAGGGAGATATGCCTCTGGCAGGGTTGTGAGAGCTTTCGCGGCTTCACCTGCTCTGATGAAGCCTGCTGGGGCGTTATAGATGTTGACTATCAGAGTAGACTTTCCTGTGGGTGAGAAAATCTGAAGGAATAGGAGATCCGAGGCCTCTTTAGTGTCAGTTGTGAAGGGGCGGAGCTGGGAGGTCCAAATGTCTTTCTTCTTTCAAATATAGGTGAGGACTTGTGGTTGGCCACTTATCGCCCAACTGTTAGTTGGGGAGAAGCATTCATATGATGGGTGTTTTTTAGTGATCTATTGACTAAGATCTTTAAAAGTATATAGTTCTTGGATTAGGATAATATCAATATCGCTTGTGTATACCAATGTAAGAGCTATTTCATGTATATCTAGTGCGTGCCCTACATTTAGCTGTAGAATTTTGAGAGGCGCCTTCTAAGTTAGATAGTGATAGATTATAGTTCCCATTCAAGAAGAGAGGTGAACCGGTTTTGTGATTAAGGTGTTGTAAAGCGGACTGCGCGAGCTGTAATTAGAGGATCTTCAGTTAGGGCGCGAGGTGGGGGGGTTACTAAATGGAAAGGAGAGATAATTTTGTAGGTTGGAGGCTGAGTTGGCATCTCATCTAATGCCATAGATATTTCTTGTGTGCCAATGGAAAGCTAAGAGCTACATCCTCCTTCAGTTCGAGCTTTTGCGAGGTTTATGGCATAGGATTTGCGGATCTCTGCTTGTTAAGCTTTAGTATGTTTAGTGTTGCCTTTAGGGCGCAGGAGGCATTCTAGGAAATCAGCTAGATGTAGTCTATGGCAGTGTATGCATCTAGGAGGGCACTGATGAGGCTCTAGGGCTATGCAGTGGTTAACATGGCCCTCTTCAGTATGCTCTAAGGAGCCGTAGAGCTGGTATCGAGAGGGGCGGGCACAGGATCGTGTGTTATGCCATTTCTAGCATCGTGTACATTGGATAACTGTTGTTCTCTTAGAGAGGTGACAGGCATTAATGATAGTGCCAAAAAGACGTAGTTGGATAGGCAGTGGTAATTTCGTGCCTTCTGGGAAGTTGACAAACCAGCTTGAGGAAAGAGTATTAGGGTTGGCGGCACTTGTAGCAGTCTCGCTGATAGATATAGGCTTAAGCCCAGTAGTTTCGCTGATTTCTAAGGATAGTAGTGTAGGATTGATAGGGATTAGAGAGTATTAGCCATCCAAGATTTGGCCAATTTTCCTTGGCACATTGGTAACTCAGTATGAGACCCATCGGGAGCTGCGTTCTATCTGGCAGTTAACAAAGAATGCAGAGATAGTCTCTTTTTGGGCCTTAAGGGCTAGGAGGGCTTCTAGAGATGAGGGGCATAGTGTGAAGCCAGTCTTTGTGGCTTGAACTTCTTTTAGCACTGCACTATTTGAGTTTAGTTGAGACCATAGGCTAGAGTAGATGGCGTAGGCTTCCATTTTTCTAGCTGCATGGTCAGCTGGGAGGCGTACGAAGAGCCAGTTGTCAGGAAGGGGTTGTTTCACCAGAGGCATAGGCTTTTTAACAGGGGATTTAGAGTGAGTAGTGGGGGTTGATTTGACCAGGGCATATTGGGTAATAGTTGCATAAGTTGACTGGTTAAGACCTGAGGGGGGACGTGAGGGAGGGGGTGAAGGGGGTAAGGGATTTAGGATGAGGGAAGAGGAAGGGGAAGGAGACAGGGCAGGTAGAATGAAGGTCGTCAAGATACCGCTAATATAGGCGTTGAAATGTTGTTGAGCTACTGAGGCGAGGTCATCACTTAGGGCGGTAAGGGCTCTCAGTAGGTGAGGAGCAAGGCTGGTGGTTTGGCTGCGGTATTTATCAAGGAATGCAGCTATAGGGCTGAAGATCTTCTGTCCTTCAGAAGCTCTTATTATGGCTGCAGATGTGGATTCTAGAAGGGCTGTCTGTAGAGGGCCGTCTGTACCAGGGCCTTTACGCGCCATGGTGTTGCCGGGCGCGTTGAGACGCGTCAAAGGCTGCACTCCTGGGAGCTAGGTGGTAGAGAGGGTTGAGGATTTTGAGCCTCTGACTGTTTGATATGAATAATTATAAGGAAGTCGCCTATCAACTCGAAAATCTTGAATCGAGACATATGTCTATGTTAGTCGTAAAACCAGGTAGTGCTAGCGAAGGTCACGTGCGAACCTCGATTCGGATCAGGTGAATTCAGGCTATTCCTATTTGGTCAAATGTCTGTACTACATAAGGTCAGTCGTTTCCCAAACACTCCTAATCACTCTTTGTTCTACTCTCTGCTCTGATTTCTGTCAAAACAGACTCATCAAATCAACCATACCTTCTAACACTGTGTTAAAAATGATTTCCTTTTTGATTTTCAGCGTCCTGATGGTACGTATAGATATGATAGCCTCTGATACATTATTGTTGATATCCGGCTTAGGCTGGACTCCTGTTTGCCATCAAAAGGCTTTATTTCCATCCCTTGTCTCGCTTCAATGGCCCTCGGTTTTGGGCTCTTACCCTCTTGCCTTACATGCTTGCCTTTCGATCGGGTCAGCTCGCACACAAGGTTAAAGGTTTCCACGAAATCTACGGCGATACGGTGCGAGTAGGGCCAAATGAGATATCATTCATCAACCCACACTCAGTCAAGGATATATACAACAAGAGACCAAATGCACAATTCAAGACCCTCCCTAAGGATCCTGTTCGACAGCCCCCAACTAGGCCAGGCCACCCATGCTCCATTCTCGAAGCCGGAGACGAAGACCACTCTCGAATACGAAAGGCGTATGCGACCCTCTTCAGTACTCAAGCACTCAGAGCACAGGAGCCTCTGATAGTATCGTACGTGCTCAAGATGACCTCCCAGCTAAAAACCCGTGGTTCCCAGAATGATGGGATTGTGGATCTTCAGAAGTGGTTTACTTACTGTGTATTCGACGTCATTTGTTCGCTGAGTTTTGGAGAGGACTTTGGCTGTCTGGAAAATGACCGATATCACGAATGGGTTGGCGCGTTGGTCTTTAGTCTAAAGGCAAAAGTGCAGCTCGCGTCTTCTCGTTATTATCCATGGCTATTCAACCTTCTCGTGAAACTTATGTCTCAATCAGCCCAAGCTAAGCTTATAGAGCACAAGAGGATTACACGAGAAAAGGTTCAGAAGCGTTTAGGACAACACACAGTCCGGCCAGACTTCCTTTCGTATCTTCAGGCTTCCAAGCACGATCTCACGGAGGGTGAAATAGTGACCAATGCCGAGACTTTGATTATTGCCGGAAGCCATACTCTCCAAACAGCAATTACAGGAATAGTATTCCAATTGTTACATAACCCGGAGGCTCTCGGTCGAGTTACGAATGAGATTCGCGACGCTTTTGCGAGTGAAACAGATATGGATACCAAATCATTAATGCAGCTTCCGATGCTGGGGGCTGCTATCAAAGAGGGTATGCGTTTGACTTCTCCCGTCCCTTTAGGACTTACACGACGAGTTCCTGACGGAGGAGCGATCATTTGCGGCTCTTACTTTCCTTCGGGGGTGAGTCTTCTTATTCTGTTACTCTATTCTGTACAGGGAAGGCTAACAATGACGTCAGACCGTAGTTTCATACATGCAATGGGCCGCCAATCTCTCCGGCAGCAACTACACTGACCCAAACCGCTTCGATCTTGAGCGCTGGCTTGATTCGGATTCAGGTGCAGGAAGTCGTTATAAGAACGATCGGAAAGAGACGACTCAGCCATATTTGCAAGGTCCTCGAGATTGCCTGGGACAAAACCTAGCCCAATCCGAAATCGTTCTCATCCTCGGACATCTGCTCTACAATTTCGACATATCTTTGCCGGAGGGTTTGGGATCACAAGCTGTAAACAACTGGGAAGATCAGGAAACATATGCGGTTTGGGTGGGGAATCCACTCCCAGTCCGCTTGAGTCCTAGAAGTTGAGTTTCACTGTAGGTATACCTAATACGAGAATGGCCTGATTTATAATTGATGTCTCTTATGATCACCATGATTTCTTTTTCGTTTGACCGCTTTTTCTCTGTCAAGCTGCATGCAATTTCTACTTGGTCGAATGCTTAGTGACAACGCATATGCAACTATGATTTCCACCAGTTCGATTACCAATTTATGTGCTACCTAACAGCGATACCCGATGTCCGTAGAAACCGGTGAATCTGCATAATTTTGTGTATTTTGATCATAATTTTCTGTGTCAAGACTACACCGACAACAAAATTTAAACTGAACTGGCAGAAAAGATTCTTTGAATATTGCCTAAGTATGCTTATGTTATGACTTCAAATGGGGCAATCATAGGGACAATCAATGGTGCGCGATCATTTACCTGATATCCGCCGCTGAATAGAGAAGAAAGGTTTATTACTGTATTTGATTGCATCCACGGATCAGATAAATCACACTTGATCTCGCGAAGGGTCAATTCGTCTAGTATCAGATCATAGATATATTCTTCGAGGGAACTTGTCTCAAAATGGTAGAGTACAGACCTTCTCTGGGATCTACCACACAGCTCTGGTTGCCAGCGGCTGCCGCTGCAGTACTTGTGTTAGTCTCCTGCATTTTTTGCACTGTCTCAATCCAAAGGACTGGAAACGCCAAATTCATTGCCCCTTTCGTGGGATCAAAGCATGCTTGGCTAGCGAGGTGGAGTTTTTTCTACGCTGCTGAAACCGTGATCCACGAAGGGCACACCAAATACGAAGGAAAGCCGTGGAAGCTTACTGGAAACGATGTCATCGTTCTCCCACACAGATATCTCAACGAGATTCGGAAGCTACCATTTCATCAGGCGAACGCGATGCAAGCAAACCTAGACAATATGCAGAGCAAATTCACACATCTTGATATCCTCAATACCACTCGGCTTTTTGTTCAGGTTTTGAAAACTAAGGTTAACCCTCAGCTGGCCCTCATGATCCCTACAGTTCGAAGGGAGCTAGACGCAGCATTCGCGAACGAGGTGCCCCCTCCATCAATAAACGAGGGAGACTGGACGAGTGTACCAGCCTTCCAGACCATTCATCGAATTGTAGGCCGCGTTTCAGCGCGCATATTCGGTGGCCAGGAACTTCGGGATGACTCTAACTGGCTAAATACTGCTGAAGGATATCTTCACAACATCTTTGTCACCGCCATCACAATCCGCTTGGTGCCTTATGGATTCAAGACAGTTGCTTCATGGTTTCTTCCATGCTCGTGGAAGATATCGTGGAATTTCTGGAAGGCCAAGCGCATTCTCTATCCATACATCCGATATCGCAAGAGTATTGTCGAAGAGAAAGCGGCCGAATTCGCCAGAAAGCGGAGAGATGAGTTTCCTGACGTCTTACAATATTTAATAGAGCAGGCTACTGGGCGGGACGCTGAGCTCATGAGCCTAGCATCTATGGTTCTCTCCCTGAGTCTAGCTTCGAATCATACGACAGCCATGGCATTGACAGAAGCCCTATATGATCTATGTACGTATCCGGAGTACCAAACCGAGTTACGTGAAGAAGTTCGGTCAGTCATTGAAGCTGATGGAGGTTGGAGAAAAACATCCCTGGTAAAAATGCGCAAGCTAGACAGTTTTATCAAAGAATCTCAGAGGATGCGCCCTCCCAGTCTTAGTAAGTTTTCAATCCGCTCTACATTCATTTCAAACGGGACAATATGGATCGTTAACTTAAGGTACAGTGGGCTATAAACGCAAGATTACTGAAAATATTACCCTCAGTGATGGACTGCAATTGCCGGCTGGTGCGCATGTCGAATTCGCCATTGTCCCCATTCAACAAGACAACACCATTAACTCAACCGAGTTCGATGGGCTACGTTACTATCGTTTGCGACAAGCGCCATCTCAAGCTCATCGTCACCAGTTTGCGACTACTAGTGAATCCGTCTTGCACTTTGGACATGGGCAAAATAGTTGTCCTGGTAGATTTATGGCGTCCAATGTCATCAAGATGACCCTTGGAAAGATGATGTTGGAGTATGACTTCAAATTGGATCAGTTCAAAAGACCTGAGGGTATACACGCTTTTGAGTACAACTTTCCTAATCCTGAGGTACATCTTCTGCTGAGGAAGAGGAATCAAATGCCCTCCGTATAGTTACCGCAATCTGCCATGGCTCTTTTACCTAGTCTGAGGTTCGATCGAGTTTTAAGATGGAGTAGTAGAGTATATTATGTTAAACATTTTCTAGCAAGTTTGACACGTGCTTGGGCTTTCATTTCTATATTACATAGTATTTAGAACAAGCATCCACAGCAATTAGGGCTAGAAATGGTTATCGATAACAGATAGAAGCTCTTATCAGCGTTATCGTTATCTTATCGCATCGTCTTCTTAGCGAGAACTCTTTGCGTGTCGAGGA